AATTTTTCCATATTAAGGTCAATGTGAAATCTGCACTAAGATTTTTTAGTTAGATTTCAATTAAGTTATTAATGTAAAATTAACTAAAACTAAAAAATATATATAAATCTATTAACTTAAAAAATTAGAAATGGACTTAAAAACATACAAGTAAAAAAATTATAATCACAAGTTGCAAAAAGTGATGATGAAAGTTTAAGATATTTTGAATTAATTTAACTATAAACGTTTAAAAGTAGGACTCATTTAATGTTATTGAAAACTGAAAAGAGAATTATTGGTTTTAAAAAAAACAAAAATAAAAACTTATTGATAGTTTTTCCATTATATTTGAACTGTATAACTTTTTCAAAACATGTGATAACATCACACACACACACACTAGTCATTGCAGTCAATAAACAGTGCCTTCATTTTTTTTACTTTTTTGGGAACGGAAAAAGTCTTTGTCCAGTTGGAGACTATTCTCTTACTAAATTTTCAAACACTAATCTAAAAGTCATTCCCAACAACCCGTTGGTCATGTTCTTTTATTCGTTTGTTTGATTTGCTGTCCCAAAACACGTATTATTAAGTTAATAAGATATATGGGTGATATAAATAGGAGTATTTGTTGCCTTAGGGATAGGGATTCGAGAGCTAAATTGTTTAGGTCTTATTTTTTAATCGCATTTCTGACTTGAATATTGTATATGTTGGGGAACCGCTTGATACACGTGCTCTAAAAAGAAATATATATATTATATGAGTACTCATTAATTCAAATGAGTTCAGTCGTGGTATGACCTCCCTTGCCCTCCAAGCCAAAGTGGAGGCGGAATAAGAAAGAAAAGAAAACAAGGAAGGAGGAACCATCATCCAGAGATTAATCTTGTATAAAAGGAGACTCCATATTTTTAAATTAGAAAAATAAGAGTTGGTTTGTATATTAATAAATAGACTTGAATGAATGGATTAAAGAAAAAGAAGAAGAAGAAAAAAAAAAAACTTATGTATTATTCAATTCAAGAAAACAAACTTGAAAGAGAAAATCAGACAAGTTTGGTGCACTTCTCTTTTTATTTTTATGCATAACCTCGATCATAAGTTTAGCTTCAATATTTGAAAATGCTTTTCAATAAAAAAAAAGCATGAAGAAAAAAAAAATGTAGATAATTAATTGATTATCAATAAATATACGGCATAAAATTGAATAACAAATATGTAATATCTCTGCTAAGAAGCACGAATACTATTCTTAGGAGTTGAACATATGGATATGGACATGCGTGAGACATGGCCCAAACACGTGTAAGAAGTGTCTTGTAATTTGAGTATTGTATTTTCTGATTCAACACGACAAGTACAAGTTTGGGATACTTTCAAGACAGTAAGGTGATTTTGTAATTTTTTTATTTTTTTAAAAAGAATGAGATTCAATTCAGTTTGAAACATATTATAGGTTAATTAGAAATATAATAAAGAAAATAAGAATAATAAACTTCAAATTTAAAGCACTAAATTAGTGATTCCCTTCATAATTATTTGAATAAAGTGAAGAAATTTTATTATTTTTAATACATAATAATATATTTATATTATTATTTTGTAATGTATTAAATTCCATGCCTTATCCGTGTATTTTTTAAAAGTACTAATTATTTGAGGTGGACCGAATATGGGACAAGCAACTTTATTATTGCTTCAATGTATTTATAAACTGGAGTGAAATTATTAATTCTCTACTTATACAGTAGTACTTTTATGTCAAACTACGAGGTATGAACCTCATAAATGGATTTGTTCCCCAGAATAATTGGAAACCTAATAAAGTCAAGTACACGTGATTGGTTCGTTTTTTAACTAATCACAAAGCGATTATCCAGCGACTATGGCCAGTAAACCTTTAAAATGTTTAACAGCACATTTTCTAATGACAGATCATACAAAAATTAATGATGCCTTTGATAATTTATCTAATTTCCAAATTTCACTCAATGACTCCATGTAACTAACTGTTAAAGAGAAGACTTACCAAAAACAACCATCATCCATGACAACAATACACAAAGGTATATATCTATATACATATATTTATATATATAATTTAAGGGCATTTAACTATGTATGTAACGTATGCTAAAAAACAATCACATTACAAGGCATTTATAATGTGAATTTAATGTATATTGCACTCTAGAAACTCTTAGCCAAAATTTTACAATTGTTCAATTCACATTTTTTAAATTAAGAATTTTGAACTCAGTTACAATGATGTTCCCACATAATAATACCAATTCTGTAATACAGAATCCAAAGAAAGGGACCAATTATAAGGCATTTACAATGTTCACACATAATACTATATTGTTAAAGGAATTTGTTGTTTATTGAAATGATATGTGACTATTAGACATTTCAAAATACATATAAATTTTGTTTTTTCAGACATGAATCACAGCCCTAAAAGAATGCACCCAACATAATAAGACAAGAGAAAGGCCTAAGAAGCACATAAGATTTACCCCAAAGACAGAACAGAAAAGAGCATTACAGGTTTCAACATCCGAGAACAACAGTGGAATAGATCCCATGACAGCTATGAAGAGAAACTGGACGGCAGAGTAGATCCCCACATATTGTAGTGCTCGAGCTTGGATGGGAAACTTGGGGAAGATGTAGTTTGCCACGACGGCGGCGGTTACAGAGACAACCATGGCAAGACACATCAAGTGGAAGGCTACAGATGGGAGTCTTGTTTGCAGTACTGATTGAAGTGCAATAGCAGTTACAGCAGATTGTAAGCAAACTGCAGTTAACAATATTGATTGATCGAGGGATGGAGGTGGAATCACTGTAGATGGTTCAACCTCTATATGCTGCTTCTGCACCACCACGACAGCCGCAGGAGGAAATGGTGGAGGAGATGGGCTCTGGTGGTGTTGGCAGGGTGATGGAAGGCATTTCTCCGGCATTTTCTTCCACTCAGTTAATACTACTAGCTTAATTGTATAATTTTATATTTCTCAAGGTTTCCTAGGAGGCCTTTTTATATCTGGTTTTACCATTAAGGGTAGCTTCATGGTAATTGCCAAAGCTAACGATGAATGGACCATTCAGACCTAATAATCAAACGGTCATTTTCATTTTAGGTGTATATATATATATTTCTTTTCCCATTTAAATACTGAATCACTTAATAATTTCATTTATAGCTTTCAAAATAGAAATAAAGTTTTATGATTACAATTTATTTTTAAAAATAATTGACATGTAATTTTTTTTGTTTAATTATTTAAACACGTTTAAAATTTCCTTAGTAGCAAATATATTTTTTTAATCATTTTATAATTTTAATTTCCATTTAATTATGTTTAAATGAAAATAAGTAATATTTTAAATACCTTTTTTCTTTTGTGTAGGATCTTAAAAAAAATCATTCTAGAATTTTTACGCTTTGTATATTAAAATCAATGTGAAAGCTACACAAGATTTTTTAATATAATTCAATAAAATTAATAATGTAAGATTAATTAATTAACTAAAACTAAAAAGTATATATAAATACATTAACTTTAAAAATTACACATGAACTTAAAAACATAGAAGTTAAAAATATATATATATATATATATTATAATCACTAATTGAAAAGAGTGATGCTAAAAGTAAGAGATTGGAATAATTTATTGATAGTTTTTTCATTATTATGTTTAAACGGTCAAACTTTTCAAAACATGTGTTCACATCATATATACCAATTAATATAATACCATGTAAATAAGTCAACATCATGTACTAATCATTATAACACCATGTAAGTTTCATCACATACCAAGCAATTTAACAGTTCACACCATGTAACTTCCATCATATTGAAAATGTTACAAACAATTATGGGACTTACTCTGCAACTTCATGATCCACTCTACAAGGTTTGCTCTTTGTCCTGCAATTTCTATTGAACATGGTTGGAAACTAAGCAAAGCTACCTCTCTCTTCCTAAATTTTCAAACACTAAGATAAAATGTTGGACATTAATAACAAATTAACCTTTATTGTCAACCAACTATAAAATGAAGTGTGCTCTTGTCAACGTTCTTTAATTCACTTTTGATTTGCAAACTAAATTTTCAAACACTAAGCTAAAATCTTTTGACATTTTAACCCTCTCCCTTCTTTTCTTCTATAATAGTAAATTCTTGACTTCGTCCCAAACTGGATATGCTCAGAAACCAATGAATCACTGAGCAAAAGAAAATTAGGTAAAATTGTGTATGGTCCAAGTGGAACCTGGATGGCTAATACACGATCCTTCAATATATGATCAAACAGGAGCTTTGCGGCAGTTGAATACTAAAATGACAGCTAGGGAAAGAGCAAAGATGATCCAAGAGGTGAGCTTGAGGTAGAGTGTAGAAGATATTGTGATGGCGATGACGAACGCAGTGACCCCAGAAAAGATCTCCACATGTTCTAGTGCTCGAGCTCCAACCGGGGACTTTGAAGAGATGTGCTTCGACACGATGAGTGCTGCAACAGCAACTACCATAGCGAGATTAATCATATGGAAGGCTGTAGGAAGTTCATCGCCAACTTGAAGTGAATTAAGGACGATTGCAACTGCAGACTGGAAGCAAAATGCAACTACCATCACAGGCCAATCCAGGTTATTATGCTCAGGATGAGCAGCATCAAATGGTGGAACCACTGGCGTTTGAAGCTCTCTCAACCACGGACGCTTGCAGATCAGACATGGAAGGAATTAATACTGGTGGAGGAGGGCTTGGTGGCTGCAGCATTGTCGGTCGACAGGACGGGCTTGATGGCTCTCGCATTGTTGGTGGAGCAGAAGGCTTTTGAGGCACTGCTCTGGCAATTTTTCAATTTTGAGGGAGAACAAATGGAAGTGTGTAATGATGCGCAGTCTCTTTTGGGTATGTATGATCAGATGAGATGGTGCAAGATCAAAACAAATACAGAAACAATAGGTACATTGAACATGATTCTAATCACAAAGATGGCTAATTCTACCTTGTAATCTCAGTGCATCAGAACAAATCCATAAAACAGAACTGTTCAAAAGTGCCATAACATATTTTCAATGTAATATCTACAGAATAAATATATATATATCATTAACTATCATAATAAATCAACCAAAAAGCATATACACCTAGTCGATGAAGCAAATTCATGGAACTAGTGATAGACGGGTTGAAGCTTCAGCACTCAGACGGATGGTGCAGCAAGCAACTAACCACTTCTAGATCACTTGGTAGGTTTCCTGATCCACAATAACTTTTTGGAGTAAGAGTTGCATTCTCTTGAAAGATTTGGCAATTGTTCTCTGACAAATAAATAAATAAATCGTTATTTATCTGCCGATCACAGTACAAGATGATAAACTTGCAACTGAAGCTCTGCAGTTCGCTTCTTTTTATGCAACTGTACTCTTTGAGCCGGTTCTCTGTTGAATGTGAATCTTTTTGGCTGTCTCATTGAAAATGCTCCATTAGTCCTCTTCGGCTTCATTGGAATTAATCACACAGAAACTGTATTTCAAGAGTATTAATGGAGTAAAGAATAGATACAAGTTAATTAAGGATGTGTATCTTGGTACAATGTGTTAAATTAGGCACCAATGTTGAAGTTGGCATGAGGTAGAGTCCTGAGACATGGCTGCATATTTAGGTGATCTGTGGAGTCGCCTGTTTTGTGTGACAGCATGAAATAGTGAGGTGTGCTCTTGCGTTCTTCCAATTTGCGGTACCGCATACCTTCACTTTTAGGTCACTTGAAGAAGGGTTTTGAGAGAGAGAGTTGTGATTGGGTTCAAGGTAGATGAGGTAGGACTAGACTCCAGAGTAAGGATACCATGGTCAGTAACTAAAAGTTCCAAAGCTGTATCTTAATGTGATCTGTGTGTGTTGTATGTGTACGAGCATATAAATATATTAGCTTTTATAAATTTAAGCCACCAATGCTAGCGTTACTAGTAGTAAAAATAAAAATAAAAATAAAAATAAAAATCTTTGCACAACTTAGTGCTCACAGCACCATTGCCTGTCGTACATGCTTGCATATGAGGGTATACAGAAGTATCATAGGTTAGTGAAAAGACATTAATGATGAACATGACCTGTATGAAAACAAAAAGGCTTAATTGCATGTTGCATGGAGTTATTAGTCAAAGAGAGAGAGATTCCAATGGAAAGATTTAACAGGTATGCAACTGGAGTTCAAATTCTGCACACAAGGTTCAAATATCATTACTTACAAAAGAGGAAGGAATATTAATACACTAGATGCACTTTTTTCCCAGTCCAAAATGGAAAACTAACTGGAGACTTGAAAAAGTAAAAATGAAAACTTACAGATAATCAAGTGAACTTGAAACTATGAACATGACAAGACTCAAATCTATTGTGTGTCAAATAGGAGAAGTGAAAAATGCAATTGGATTAAATGCAATTATTTGTCCAAAAACGACAACACAATTACCACTTTTGCTCTAATAAACTATGAGGAAAGCATAGAGGGACTTCACCCTTAGGCTGGACAAGTGCAACCTGACCCTAGGCTGCATTGATCTGTAGGTTTTCTTCACTTTTCAACATGTACTTGATCTTCCACTATTTTTTAACTCTGAATTTAATTTTAATTAAAATTGGAATAACAGCCTAGAGTCATTTTTCTAAAATATATATATTTTATGTGCAATGAAGTTTGAGACCTGGTGTTCTCTCTATTGTAGTCCTCAAATCATTGCTAAACTAAGAAAAAGAGTTTTTCATCCAAAATAGAAGCTTCTTGTGCAATGAATATGTCAGGTTGTACTAAAATGCAGGTTACATTGAGATACCAACTAGCTCCAAAAAAGGGGAGAAATTGAACTGTCCTCTCCTGAGGTGTCAAAAATTGCTGACAGTATTGAAAGTTTCGGAAATTCCACAGTCCTCCTTCCCTTTGTTCACTGATACAGAATTCTGCTCCTGTTTGTCAATGTTTTGTCAGTGATAAATTTTGCCAATATCATAATTTTTTTCTAAATATCTATTTTAACTATGTTAAGATCAAGAAAATGTGTATGTGCTGAAACTAATTACTGAAAAATCAAATTTTCCATTTAACTTTCTCAAAATCATGTGTCTAAGTCCTTACTATCTCTCAACTAGATTTTCCAATCACCGATTCACCTGACTGATAAGCTCTTCGAACGAGGATGGTAACATGGTACATAAAACGACTCTTAAAGAGACAAGGGTTAGTTTTGTGTGATCCTTAATGGTGAAAGATGGTTGATTCTTACTAGAATGATATAATATATGTTTTAAATTTAAAAATATAAAATATAATAATTCAATGATGTGTATAGTGATCATTTTTTGCCAAATAAACAGCACGTGCAATGCACCTGGCTTATTTTTGTTCAATCTTGATTGCAATCTGACAAAAGGGGCAAACTGCAACTTTAGGTAGATCAGGAGGTTAGTTGACATGAAATTCAGTTTAGGGAGGTTAGTTGTAAACTTTGAATTCCCCACCACCCCCCCAACAATTTACCTTATCTTTAATATTGTTTGTAAAGTTGAATATTAGTTTCTAAGTAATGAACCACTCTATTAGTATCAGTCCAAGTAATTAAAAATCTGAGAAGTTGCTAAATAACTTTCGAGTTATTAGATGTTATTGTCCACTGATTACTTACTTAATCTAGAGAATCGTGTAATGAGTTTTAGTGTAATAACAATGCAAATGGATTATCACGAGTTTACCTTCGGAATTGTGAATGAGATCATTAATTAATAAAGCTAGATTATACTTGTTATTCTATACAATATAAAATTTATCCTATTCACATTTAATGAATTGGGTTATATCCCCTATCTACTGATGAGGTCTGGGTAGAGACAAGATGGGTAACACAAAAATTGAAAGGATAATAGATATACTGAACAATGTAATTCTAGCACCTGCACAGCACAATCTACCTATTAATCTGAGAGAGGTACCATATCCACTGATAAAAATAAACAATCAATTTATGAATCACCAAAATTTTATTTATATGATAACCAAGATTGCAAACTAGCTATATAACATTCATATATTTCCAAAATAAAATAAAAATATGAAGTCTTTAGAATATCATTATCCTCAAGGGAGAAAACCGACTTCAACAACAAAATTATCTACAATGGCACAACCTATGCTCAAGAGAAACTTTAAAACCATATTCTGACCTTAGAAAGCATTCACTGGACACGGCCAGCTCTCCTGTTCCTCCTTCTCCTCTCATAATCAAGATCATCTGTGGGCAATTCGTAGCGACAGACAGGGCAGGTATTCCGAATTCCCAGCCAAGGCACAATGCAGTCCCCATGGTAATGGTGAGAACAAGGTAGCTGCTTTGCTTGTTCCCCAGCATTTATCTCATCCTTACAAACCGCACAAAGGGCATTGTTCTTTTCCACATTTTCTTGAGTTAAAACAACAGATGGAAGATTTTCAACAACAGTTTTGGAAGCAGGTGGCGGACCTACCAAAGCATTTTCATCTTCTGCAAATTGCCCAAATAACATTTCATATTCGGGATCACCCAAATAAGGTACACCACCTTGTTCTAGTTCCAGGTTTATATCCAAATCCTGAGAATTTAACAGAACTTCCCATTCCAAATTCCTCAACGTACCCCCCCTCTCTACCACTTCTTCTTCAGAAGGAAGTACAGCCAAAAGGGATGCATCCAAATCTTCATCTGCATCGGCATCGAGAAACATACTCAAAACTTCTCTTTCATCAACCCTACCATCCACTTCCTCCCACTCAAAATCTTCATTCACATCCCTGTGATCCTCCAATCCAAACGAATCCCAACAAAGCCGAAGGCCTGTACCGTCTTCGCATGTATTATCCAACGCAAAATCATCCTCTGCGTTCAAATCAATATCAAGAACTTCACTTTTATCCTCTTCCGAATCCGACCCGATCCCAACAACCCTCAGATCACCCACGAATTGATCGGTGCCACCGCATAGGGCGGATGACTCGCCGGATTCAGACGCAGAGCCTCTCCTCGACATAAAGAAATCGTCGCCGCAATCCGCAACCATAAACCCACAATTAGCATCAGCATTGGGCAAACCATTCCTATCCATACCAAACCCTAACCCCAAACCAAGATCTAGCTCCAAATCATTCGAACCCATTTCCTCATTCCCTTCAATAACCCCAAAATCCGGATCCAAATTCAGATCCGACGATGATTGCTCAACGCGTTGATGAAACAAGTCCATAACAAAGTTTACCTGGTTTTCGCGGTCGAAGAAATCGACGTTAGTGATCGAATCCGTCTCTGTAAAGCCGTTCAACACTCGAAGTCGATTGGAGACCTGTTGATGACGTACTGTGGTGGTTTGATGGTTGAGATTTGCAGATGGGGATTCGGAGAGAGAATCGGGATCTAAGGTACAGACATCGAAGCTGTCAAAGTCAAGAGACCAATAGGGGACGGAGTCGAGGGTTAAAATGCCGTCATCTCGGTCGTCTTCTTCATCTTCGTGGACATTAAGATATACCATTTCCGCCATCAATGAGCAGATAGAGCTTTGAATTTGGCTTTCAGAGTTTATTTGCTTTAGAACTATACATAGACTTTAGAAGCGGAATTCACTGCGATTTCGTAAAAGCGTGTGAAATTACGAGAGTTGTCCTCAAATAATTGTTTCAATCCCTCGTTTGGTCAGTTGTCCTGAGGAGAAGTGTTACGGGGTGGACCTTAGAGCCACCTCACAGTCATGGAATGCTGTCAATGTGCACTGGGGGTGTTCAACGGTATTTTTGTAAATATGGTGAAAAAGTGAAGTTAGGAATTTTAATTCGGGATCTTTATGGAAGGTACCTTGAATCCATAAAAGATGGTTGGAGCAAACGGCACTCGATTTGGATGTCGGGAAGGGTCTAAAAGGCCATTATGACTCCTCAAGCATAGGTAATGTCTATTCCTGTCAGAGTGCTGATTTTCCTTAGAACTATATAAGGAGGGGTCTGTTGAGCACATCAGTTGAGTTATGGCATGACTTGTTTAGAGGGCTTAGCCAACGTGCATGGGTACGTGTTGCACCACTCCAAGATGGTTACACAAGAGGGGAGCATACGAACTACCGAATGGCAAACAAGTGAGCAATGGTGCGCACAAGCACGGGTTCAGCCTGGTGTGCACGCGGGAGTGCAGTCGCGTGCACACGGGCGTTCAAGCATGGCACGCGTAGATAAGCACCAGCGTGCGCGCCGGCGTGCAGCAGCGCTTTTATGGGCGTGCACTCGGACGTGCACACAAGCGTGCATGACTTGGCACGCCGTGCACTCTGAGATATTTATATGTGGATGCAGGTTAGTGGGCTTGGCACGGGCTAGGTTTACAAAGTTGGCTCAGTTGGTTGGGGGAAATTACTAGCACTTTCCACTCATTTTGGGGAGCAGGGGTATACTGAGTAACTTCCCATGCATATGGCACAGGCGGTTGGAGTCAGTTTTCCTCCACTATGCTGATGATTACAAAAATGGCTAAGTGGGCTCAATTGGTTGGGGGAAGTTACTTACACTTTCCACTCATTTTGGGGAGTGGGGGTGTGCTAAGTAACTTCCCATACATGTGGCACAGGCAGTTGAAGTCGGTTTTCCTCCACTATGCTGATGGTTACAGAAGATGGCTAAGTGGACTTAGTTGGTTGGGGGAAGTTACTAACACTTCCCACTCGTGTGCATATATTATGGGGAGTGGGGGTGTGCTTAGTAACTTCCTATGCATGTGGCATGAGCAGAGTATACCAACAAAATAGCAGTTAGGTTTGCCAACTGCATATGTAGTGCTGACACACTTAGAGGGTGCCAGCACGACCCTAGGTGGATGGGGGTGTCATCCATCACTTTAGTGGACGGTTTTGAGAGTTTACCTGTATATTGCTAATGTGGGTTCTGTAGAAAGACAGATAGAGAGTGAGACACAGAGTTGTGTTGTGAGAGACTCTTGTATGCTTCTGCAGGTTAAGGCCTTTCCTTGTACTGTTTTATGGATAATAGTAAAAGATTGAAAACCTTGTGCTTCTGTAAGTTCGTGGGTGTTATTGTCCTTACATTCTTGCAATTATACTTGTATGTTCAGTGTTTTACTTGATGTGTGTAATACCCCTAATTTTAAAAGGATAGTCTCGGCATTTTTAATATTTATTGTATTGCATTTTTATATATTTTATTGTCTTTATTGCATTTTTATTTATTTTATTGTTTTTCATTTGTTTAACTATTTTATTGTTTTTCATTTGTTTAATTGGTTATTTGAAATTTGAATTAAATTGGTTTTATGTGCATTATTTGGTTTATTTAAATTCTTAATTGTTGTGTCTATTTTCGTAAATTATTAATTGTATTATTTGTAATTCACTGTTTTAAACTTAGGTAATTAAATTACTATAATTCTGGTAATGTTAAAATTAAGTTACATGAGTTTTTAAATACATTAATTGACTCACAGTTTTGTTTATGGGCCGACTAGGATTAAGATTAGGGGTCTGTCTCTAAAATTACAAGGATTAGGGTTTTAGAGTTAAACCTATAAATACAACTATTATGCTTTAGCCTAGGGTTTACAATCATAATTCTTAAACGTGAAGTAAGTTCGTAGCACAGAGGGTTGTGAACGGAGGCACTGTAAGAATTGTCAAGGAGAAGAACAGTGAGTACCAAGGGAGGATTTTGGTGGATTAGACCAGAACCAGAGGAGGCTAGAAGGTAGTCTGTGGTTGCCGGAAGTTAGGACGACGGCATAAGTTTTGAGTCTAAAACTACAGGTAAGTTCTTCTCTTTCTCCTTCTCTTTGGCTCGTGTTCTATGCACCTAGATAATCTTTAGGGTTTAATCAATCAGTAACTGGAATTTACATGTTTAACTTATGCTATATTGATGGTCTGTGGTGTTGAAAATAAATCTGTTGCAGTGCAAACAAGTTTCGTTCAAGTTTTTTGTCCTGCAAGCATGTTGTTTCTGTTATAACTTTAGTCTCTGTTTTTATTGCAACTACTGTAAACAAAATATAGGAACAATACTGGGGTTATATAAAACTCATAGGGTTGTTATTATTCTATTTTAAATATGTATTGCAATTTGTTCCGTTTCAATTTGTCAAATAGTTTCAGATTTGTTCCTATCGCATGTTAGTTCGGTAGCAAAAATTTAATCTCTGTGATTGGGTCTAATGGTTGTTATCAAACCTTTGGGATGTTCTTGGGTGTTAATAAGATACTTAAGATCAGTTTAAGAAACCAAACAGAAGGGTTGTAGTTGGCCGGAGTTAGAACAGAGGTCAGAACAAAGCTGAAACGGAGAGGAAGCTCACAGGGGGAGAGAGAGCCGGCTCTGGAATGCCAAGAGCCGGCTCCCACCTGTTAAAGCCGACTCCAAGGTGTGGTAGAGCCAGCTCTATGTCACCTTGAGCCTACTCTACTTTTCTAGAGCAGGCTCTTTCTTTGTTTTGTGCGTAAAAGTGACTTTCAGTCACTGTTTGGGCATTCTGGGTTATTAATCAGTTTTAAAAATTTAATTGGGTGTTTAAATAATAATTTTAACATGTAACTAAGGTCTTGAATTGCATAAATTTACCCCTTAGTTTTAAATGGAATTAACAGTACGCTATTTGACAACTTTGCGTACAGTTAACGGCTGAAAAGAGATTTGTTGATTAATTTTAATCTCATGGTTTAGGGTGCTATAAAATGATTTTAAATTTATTTTAAATGCACGATGAAGTCTTTTAAAGTAATATATTGGACTTGTGGCATAGTGGGGGCTCTGTGCTAAAGGATACAACAAAATATAAGTATATGACTTAGTACTCTGTTACCGGATGGAGGGAACTAGATCGCTTAGATTAATTTAGCGATTTATTGGACTATAATATTATTATAGAACTAATTTTAATATATGATAGGGTCATTGTTTTATTAAATTTGAACTATGCATGTGTTGGATGTTAATTGTTAGAATATTTAATTCTTCGATGCAATTACATGGATTACTATTGGATTTTAATTGCTAGATTATTAATATTCCTTTTGCAATTATTTGGATATAAATTTTGGACTGTAAATCACTAAACTGTTATATATATGATGTAATTTACAAGGATATGGAGGATTATATGCACCGGTATGGGACGGTGACATACTGGTGACAGTTTAGCTCCAAACACCTAAATCTAACCTAACGGATTTAAGGAATGGATTTATAAATATTGAATCCTAATTTTGGTTAAGACATGTCAACTGCAACTAAGTTGAGTGGCTTCCTGGATTAATGGACGGAGGTTAAGTCGCATCAACTGAATAAGTTGAGTGACTAACCAGTTGGTTTGTTGTATGTTAGTTTATTAAATATTTGAACTACATACCCTGGATTTGGATGGATTTTATATATACGTTTATGGTACCACGAGCTGAGCTTGAGTCTCAGACTCGTTGGTTAGGGTGCGTATATGCGATGAATGCGTAACTGGTTATAATAGGTTGAGGTGTACCCTGTTAGGTTTAGGTACTCATGCCCACCTTTGGGTACGTATTCGCATGTTGCCTTCTATTCAGGTTGAGACCCCTATTATAGACTAGTGAATGTCCCTTAGTATGGATATATTTATACGTATGGACTAGATAGATATTGTGAGGTGTCTACGGTGTATCTGCGTATCGGATCACTGTATGGATTGCAGTTAGATTAGAACTTGCTCGTGGGTCTGACCCACTCCTTTATTATTCTTTTCAGGTGCAGGACGGTTCCAGCCTTAGAGCTTGATCGTGCTTGTCGAGGACAGTCTCACATTCATCTGATTACGTAGGATTTCTCTCGATGTTTCTAGCATTATCTATTTTCAGTTTCAATTTCAGTTGAACTTTTGGTTAGGGGTCCACCAGTGGGTTCCCAAGTTGTAACCTTGAAGTTTTGGAGGACTGGAGTTTTATTATATAGTTATGCATGGATGGTTTTATAATTAATGTTTCTTTCAGTGTTATTCCATCCTTATTATTTCATTTTGTCATCTGTGTTCGCTTTAAAATACTTTAATTGTTTGATATTCCCTCGGGTTTGGGCCTAGGCCTGATCAACCCGTGTCTCGGATCCGAGGGGTATCATAATGTTTGTTCTAGGCGATAAGTGTGAGTTGGCTAAGCTAAGTTAGAAATTCAGAGAAAAGTTGTTCATATTTCTGGCTTAGTGTCATCACATGCCACTAGATTCGTGTTCAGAATTTAACCCTGTGACAAGAAGAGTATTGGAATTCGGATGACCTATACGGGAGTAAGGATATCCTAGGATTGACCACATATTAACTATTGAGTGGGGTCTAGTGGATGGGGTCTAGTGATATCTTTATCTCCCAAACTTTGTGAGCAATGTGTGTAAGTTTATTTCCATGAAAAAAAAAGGCAAAAGTGCAAACAACCCCCCTAAACTATCGCAAATCGGCATTTTACCCCCCTGGACTACAAAAATGAACAAATCAGTACCATAACTATCCAAATCCGTGCAAGTTAACCCCTGAAGCTCAATTCCTACCATTTTCCGGCCCACAAGTGCGGTCATTTTCTTTTAATTTCAAAATTGCCCTAGAATACTCATTAATACTATTATTTATTTGTTAAGCCTCTGATAACCAGTGTTGGTTCAATCAAGGAATGTAAGAAAGAAAAAGCAAATGAAGAACCCAATTACTCCGTATAATAGAACAAATCAAAAGGGAGACTTGCAGAGGGTAATAATAAATAGCAATAAAAAAGGAAAAGCAAAAAAAAAAATGGATGGTTATAGAGGGAGAAAGAAATTTAGAGTGAGAGAGATGTTGTGGGTTGTTCATGAATTATCACTATAGACTCAAACAATTACAGACCCATCTTTCAATGGAAATTTCATCATCATGTTCATCACTTATCAGTTCATTCCATTATCGATTCCGCTGCTCCACATTGGCGCCGTGTTTTTGCCAAATTCAATCACGACCATAGTCGCCGGCGAACCTGGAAGATCATCACTGTGCTCATAGTAAAAGATAGGAGTAGACTTTGATGATACAGTGGTCCTGTGGTCAAATTTGGTTTGTTTAATTTTCATACGTCTCTCAATTCAGAGAAACCATAATTCTAACAAGTCAAAAGCCCACCGCCACAAAACACAAAAATTACTAGCTATTATCTCAGACAGAGAGAGAGAGAGATATTAGATAAAAAAAAAAAAAATAGGAAAATAAAAATCACCTTTTCCTTTATAGATTCTGAATTTTCAAAGTTGTCATTGATTGAATCCCTATGTTTCCGTTATGGAATCACCGGAGAACCTCACCGTCGCGTTTGAATCAGCCGAGAAGATTATCCTCCAGTGGGACTTTACGGCGTTAGAGGACACCAGAGAACGTATGATCTTCAATGGTGACCGCCACGAGATCGATCGCTATTTTCAGGCCGTCAACGAGATTTAGCGCTCTATGGAGTCGGCGACGATCACTAACGACCAAAACAAAGCCAACACGGCGATCCAGATCGCCATGGCTCGACTCGAAGACGGGTTTCGCACCATCTTGATCGTTAATACCAATCCGATCAAGACCAATTCCGCTATTCCACCACGCCGCCATGTTTCTGCCAAATTCAATCACGGCCATGGGCACCGACGAACCAGCCGGCCAATTCTTGTCTGCCAGTGCCGCATCGCGAGTTCATCACAGCCGAACTCACCACTAAGAAGCTCACAGCCGAGTTCTCCTTGCCCGCCGATGCCGTGCCGCAAGGTCACAACCGACATGTAATCGGCCCATGCCGCCATCGCTGCACCAGCCGGTCGTACCAGGAATCCTTACCTGAAAATTGCACATTGCCGATTCAGTCTCGCCGTCACCATTATCGTTCTTCGCCGGATTCACGCTGATTATTTATTTTCGTATTTTTTTTTCTTAATTACAATGGGTAATTTTGTAAATTTACAATGAAGTCGGCCGGAAAGTGGTCGGAATTGAGCTTCAGGGGTTAACTTACACAGATTTGGATAGTTGTGGTACTGATTTGTTCATTTTTGTAGTCTAGGGGGATAAAATGCCGATTTGACATAGTTCAGGGGGGTTGTTTGCATTTTTCCCAAAAAAAAAAAAAAAAACCATGTTTTGATGTAATTATTCCATTTTGTTAGTCTAATCAATTTTTGCACTTGCAATAACATAGGGATAATTTCACCTACCTCCCTTGAGATTAGGCCTAATTACAGGCAGTACCCTTAACGTTTCAAATATTACACCAACCTCCCTTCAATGTGGCCGGCGTTAGATTCCGGTAGAAATTCAAGTGAAAGTACTAATATACCCTCTATTATTATATTAATGTAAAATATTATCAAATTATTTTAACAAATGACCATTTGTACCCTTGAGCTTAGATTTTTTTTTTTTTTTTCTTTTCCTGGGAAACAAAAACAAAACAACCAAACAACCTCATGCTACCTTTATGGAACAGATGATCAATCAAAGAATAAGGGATGGTTTCTGGGTTTAGAGTTGGATCTTCTGGATGCATGTGGGCTCAATTGGCCAAAGTGAGCTGAACAATCCCATAGGTAAAGTAGTTTTGGAAGCAAAACATATGAATAGAAAACAAGAAGCAAGCAAGGACTGGGGTTTCGAGAACAAAGCACAGAAAAAAAATTACGAAGCAAACTGGGCCACTGGATCTCTCCTGTCACTTGTTTCTCTTTCTCTTTCTCTTTCCCACCTCTTTGGCGAAGAACATGTGGTCCAACCCGCTGGCCCTCTCTTCGCCGTCCTCGGTTTCTTCTTCTTCCCCTTCACCTGGTCCGTACCCGGAGGCCCTCATCACCGCCGAGATCGCCACCGCCTAACCCCAGCAACGACGGCCTGGAAATTCCTCTCCGTCTTTGAGAAATCTTCCCCGTCTTCAGTGTGACCCAAGTAGAGACCCAAATTGGGTTTCTATGTTTCCTTTTTTTTTTTTGTTGTTATCAGAAACTCCTATATGTGGCCTTCCCTTTGACAAAATGTTTAACATGGTAATTACCTAAAAAAAAAAAAAAAATGTTTAATATGGGTTTTCTTGAAATTTATTGTTTACTTTTTGGTGTTTGTTAATAAATAGACAAACATATGGCATTAGAGAGGTCTTGTATATAGAATTTTAGAGAGAAATTCTATATATAGACATGGTAGTTCAGAGAGACTCATACGGAGGAGAGAGGAGATGATAAAGTATATCTATATATATATATATATATATATATATATATATATAGACATAGTAGGTCTTTTGTCTTTATATTGAGGGCATTAAAGAATTTTAAATCAAAAGTGAGGGTGTAAATGTCTTTGCAACCTTTTTAAGGACAAATGTGGTATTTCACATTGAGAAGAGGCTGACATCATCAAAAGACGGCGTTGACTACTAACGAGAGGAGCAGACTGTTATGACTGAGCTAACTTGGAGGGAGGGAGGTGTAATATTTGAAACGTTAGGGGTACTGTCTGCAATTAGGCCTAACCTGAGGGGAGGTAAGTAAAATTATCCCCAATAACATATTAACCCTCTATCTTGGAATAGTCTATTCTTAATCTGTATCAAAAACTTCCTCCCATGCCAAATCCAAAGCACAAATTTAGTGCTCACAAACATGACATGAAAAAAGTTCTATAAAAATGATATTTTGATTTTTTTTAAAAAAAACCTTAGTTATAACAGTTACAATAAATAATTTCTTGATATTTGGTGCTAAACTCTTTTATATGAAAGATACAATTTTGAAAATGCAATTATATGTGCAAGAAAACAGAGGTTTCTAATGAAATTTCAAAATCTCACTTTTGAGCTCACATAGGGAACACACTGACATAAAGGGAGAAACTGTCAACTGTGCATTGAATTCAAAGCTTTTCACAAGTCCACCAATTCGTATATTCCTATCCCACCGTCTTCCAAATTTTCTTTTCGGCCATGTTCTCTCTACGGAGGGTGGTAATACCATGGAAGAGTCCAGGAGTCCAGACTCCATAGACAGATTTTAACCCCAAAGAACACATTTTGCCAAACTTCAGCAAGTGAATAGAAGCATTTACATTGATCAAATATATAAAAACAGATCCAGTGCCTCTTTGATGTACAACATAAATAATTCATGCCAATTTGGAAAAAGAAAAAAGAAAAAGAGGGGGAAAGAAAAGGCTTGGCATGTTTTTCCTTGCGTTTCCTCTTTATTTTTTACCTGTGCTGTCAAGCTTCTTTGACTTCTTTAGAGAATCAAAGAGAGATGATTTCTCTTGGTTGTTTGATGACTTAGCAAAAGGGTTAGAGGGGCGAATTGGTTCCACCAGATTTACCTCCCCTAACTTCTTTGGCTCTTCTGCATTCTTCACTTCCCTGGCATTCTTTTGCCCTCCTACATTCTTCGACTCCCCTACTTTGTCCAGTTTTGCAGTATGATTTTGTTCTAATTTCACCTTTCCAGCTTTAGCTGGCTCTTCCGACGTCCCTCTCTTTGTGAAGGGAGGGGATGACGACTTTTCTGATGGTAATGGAATAACGGATTCTGAAGTACTACCTCTTTCAGTTGAGGAAAAGGTCTTGTTGCTGATCACAGCATCAGCTTTGATGGCAGTATCATAATTTGAGGTTGGGAGTGGTATGGCTGTAATCCCCGAAGTTTCATTTAGCATTCTTTGCTGTAAGAAGGGAAAAGGGCATAAAAACCACAACAAAAACAAAAGCTTTCAATCTGATCAAAAATATCAAATGAAGAACTTCCGGTTCTTTTTCAGATATTGAAGGCTTACCTCCAATATGGTATTGAATCGCTCTGCCAAATTAGGAAGCTTAAGAGCGGTTACAAGTTTTATTGCACCTTTAACTGATTTTTCAAGTGACAGAAGTTTCACAAGTTCAGTAGCCCTCACAAGTTTATCACCTGAAATTAACCATCACAAACAAGCATTGGTACTCATATTTTGCATTTTGGATACATATCATAAAGGCAAAAAGGAAAGAAAATAAACCAATTATGGAAAAGCTAGATAATATATAATTTGCAACTTATTATTCAGATACCATTAACTTTTAATGACTCACCATTGCAGCAGGATGCAATGAGCCTCAAGATGCATCTATCAAGAGCTGCTTCTGTATTGAAAGCCTCGTCATCAAGTAAATTGGTGTCCTGATTGGCAGCTGCCATTTCCTCAATTCTTTTATGAATCTGCAAGGAATTTTGTATAAATAACTCAACTATCAAACAGCTTTTCTAGGAACTTAACCCAAAACAAACAAAGAAAGAAAAAACAGTTCATTCAAATAATAACTAGTAACTCTCAGAATGCATATAAAGTACTCTTAATCTTCACTGACAACCCTAACAGTTTTCATGATAACAAAGCAGAAATGCCACAAAAGCAATATACCTGTGAGAGATGCATGTTTTTCATTATAAATTCATTTTCAAGGGTTTCTGCTCCCAGGTCAGAGGATGGTAGAGGAAATGAAAGATCTATTAGCGTGAGAACTGGTTTGGGGATGACCTGAAAAAAGAAAGTAAAAGGAAAAAGAATGATGAAATACTTGGCCAAACAGTAAAGCAGGCATAAAAGAAAAGAGATAATCAGTTGTACTACCTGTGGGAATGAATCAGGAGATTTGCAAACAATGCAAAACAACTTGCTTGCATTCAAGCCAACAACCCAATAGTTTTCATCTGGCTTCTTTACTTTCCTAGCACTGCAAAAGTAGAATTTTTATTGGCCAACTGTTGATAACAAAAGTAAATCATTCCTTGTATTTAAAAAGAACCTTGTACCTGAAGAGTGGGAGCCAGCTGCCTCCATATTGATCTGTAAACACCCTCAGCACACCCTTCAAATTTAATTAAAGATGTATATCAAGTTGCAAAGAAGAAATTATAGAATCTTCTAATGACATGAATCAAGGATTAGGCTTGGCTCACCTTAGAATCAAAAGAACATAATTGACCTTCTTCACTGAAACCAAGCCAGGTTAGACATGAACCAGGTGTCAATGGAAGACGTCCTCTGATGGGCTGGGTCCCATTACAAACGTTGAACATTCTAAACTCTAGCATCTGCATGTCCCAGGGTAAAAAGGACTAAGCATTTTTGTGAAAATCATAATAGGCTCTTGAACAGAATCGATGCATGGGACCACTGTGTTCTAGAAGAAAGAATGACGACTAAGGCTTACATATACTTAATACAACAACAACATATCTGATCAATCAGTGCTATGTAGGTGCGATTCCTTTGGTCAATGAATTCCTACTAGAAGTACCAATTTTTATTAGGGTAGATAATTTATTTATTTTCACATCTTTATTAAAACAACTTCAAAACAAGAATAGTACTATTCCCTTCTAGATTGCTAGTTGTTGACCTTATTAATGTTTTAGCTAGGTAGATTCCCAGGGTGTTGGGGTTGAGCAAAGGAACTAATAGAGGCAACACAATTCACCCAGGGGAGTGTCGAACAAAAGTTGAAAGTTGAAACAATACCTGATCATTTGAGGGAAGAGAAGGAGAAGCATGTGTGACAACCACAAGTTCATCCTTAAAGCCTGATGCAGTCACCACTGGCCCATCCAGAGAGAGTACATATCTCTACAAGTATAACAATGTGGCAACACAGATGCACAGAGACCAACCCACATATCAGTAATCTATAAGATGTAATTCAAAATAGCATATTACTAAGTAAATAAGTCCATGCATAGTCAAGATCAAATAAAAATTAGCAGCAGTATTTCAACACTTCTTGGTTTCTTTATTTAAAAACACTGGTAGCAGTATCCAAAGTCGCAACAATTTCTATTTACTTTTTTTTCCCTGTTTGAATAAACAACTCACACACACCAACACAACTTTGCCCCACCTGGAGGAGAAATTATTCATTGCAACCGTTGTAACAGTGATGTGGTGCAACGGAGGGTTACAAACACTCCGCCAAAGCACATATATCAGCTTTTTGTTTTATTGTAGGTCCACTTTGCTTTGGTGGAGTGTTTGTAGCCATCCATTGCACCACGTCACCGTTACAACGGTTGCAATGAATAATTTCTCCACCTGGAGATCGATCCTCTAGCCAATTGTCAGGCATAAAATTCTATTTATATCACTTCAAATTGATAACAAAGGAGCCTCACTATTGTAAAGCTGCTAGAATTTATGCAGATGGAGAACATATGCAACAGGAAGATAAATTTTGTATGGAGAACCCATCTCCTACATAAAGCCATTAAGTTGACAAAACCTGTGGGTTCATGAAAATCCAAGTTTGGAGGGAAAACCCTCTTCTTAAAGAAACAGACAGTTCCTAACTGGCAGCATACAGAACCATCTTCTAATCACCTAATCGTATGTCAGAACCAACTGCTAACAAGATTATGATTGTCTTTAGGCGTCATCCAAGAATTCTATATCTAAGAAATTAGGATCAACAATAAATTGGTAATCAAGTATTGATGTAGCATCAACTTTGCAAAACATAGATATATGAAGGACTTATTTTGAACACGTAACACCTGAGTAGGTACGTAGAAATGTGTCAGATGGGTCTGACTAGGCAAGAACCTAGAAATCACATCTAATAATTCAAGCCATATTTTACATGAAACTCTCCTCTTGTTCCTTCTGTTACATAATTGCTTTAAGTGTGACGTTAATGTTGAATATACCATGCTTCATAAAGCTATTTTGTACCTAAATCTGCCTTTGAGCACATGCATCTAAACACATCTAAGGCTTGCCTACGTTAGGAACAGCGTTTGAAAAGCTTCTCAAGCTCGGTGGGTAGCCACTGTGACCTCCAGCATACATCATAGTCCTCTTTGGGATACTAAGGCTTTTACAATTGATGATTAAACTTGAAGGCCAATTGAGGTGTATTCCTTGCATGATGTGTGTCTTGGTTATTGTGTTGGTCATAAGAGAGGGCACATGTCTTTCAGGTTATGTTCGCCACATGCTGTGCTAGGCACACTCCAGTGACTCCGCCTCACCTACATGTACCTCCCTTGCTCCTGTGGCATCTCCAAATGGTTCTTCCTCCTCCAGCCCGTTAGGCTGTGTTTAACACATGTGCCAGCTACCACTAGGTTTCTGTACTCCCTGAACTTCTATAAATAGGGACAAACCCTTGACTCATTAGCCATGGAAAAGGGAAAAACAGGCAATAGCAGAAATCTCTCATAATTTTCTACAGATTTCCACTATTGGCATGCCATATCTCTCTCCTAAAAATCTCCCTCAGTTTTCACTCTAACTTAAAATTCCATTATTCTACATCTAATACAGTAATTCTTGTCTCTCTTCAGAACCCTACCCAAACTCCCGCAATCTCAAAAGAGAATCCTTATAATCTTCTCAACAAAAAATACAAATTTCTCTTTCACTTTATTCTACTTTATTTTTCATTTACTCCTTAATATATATATATATTTTTTTTGGGTGGTGGGGGAACAAATATAGAAAGAAAATCAAAACTCATTTCCTTCAATTTGTCATTCTAGTGCTTTTCATGAGCATAAACTTAACTAAAGCAAGAGTTTACATTAACATGATAAAATGTTTATTTGTGAAATATTTTGAACAGACATTGACTATGTTTATATGACAAACCTGCAAACCACCCTCAGTGAAGATTCGGAGAAAATTAAGACTTGTAACAGCAGCTACCCAAGCAGAACCAAGTGCCACAACCTTCACTTCTTCTTCCTCAAATCGCATAGACCACTGTCATTGCATTGGGTGACCAAATTTAGCTTTTGCAAACTTCACAGATTTATCACACAGGAAGTGATGCATTTGTAGATGCAATGTTTGTACGTGTGCATAGGTATAGTGCATGAAAGTAAACCAAAAACACAAATATGTTAGAAATAAGAATAAGCTAACCTCACTGTTATTAGCCCAGCTGCTGAATGGACGATACATTAGAGTACTCATGTTCTTTTCACCCTTGCATGGATTTGCAAAGACACTTCCATTTTCATTTAATGAAGCCATTGTAAAACCAAAATAATCAGTCATTGCTGGAACTCGTGGGCCTGTGCTAGTGTCATGAAAATCGATCTGCAACCAATTATAATGTTATATAAGTATATAATATACGAAAACTGTGATTAAGAACATTCTGTATAGATGGGTGAGATACACCAAATGCATTATAGTAGATCCAACAACTATCTTTCAAGTACGACAGTGAGATAATTAAACTAAAATTAAAATCAAATTTTGTGTATTCTTGGCTCAGTTCAAGATTTTAATGACATATATGAGTTGGCTAGATCATTAAACTGGTATAATTTAGTTTGTTTTCTATGTGAATTTTATGAACTTCAGGCATCCATACCATTATTCATAAAGGTTCTAAATGTCCTTTTTAAGTAAAACAGGAATGTCAAACTACCTCCCGTTCTTTGGCTGCCAAACTTGAGTCTAATCATCACTGGCAGAATTATTAATTAAGTTATTACTATAAAATAAAAAAAAGAAAAATAAAAAAAAAGAATCATTATGAAACTACAAAAACAGATTATAAGATGACAATAATATGAAATACCTCTATATGGGAGTAACCATCATGTTCAATTGTGGTTATACTTCCAAGCATGCTGTAGCACAGAAAACACCTTTTCCCGGGCTGTGCAGGAGTAGCACCTGGTTGAAAAGCATCCTGCAGTTTTGGCCCTGCAGATGTTGTCGGACTTCTTAATGCCTTCTTTCCATTATTCAGGCTTTCCTTCTGGCCACTAGAGACTTTTTTGCGGGATTCAACCTTTGGAAGCAATTTAAACTCGTCATTGTTTTCTTCATCAAAATCATCATCATATGCAGACTGTTTTCGTAATCTTTTTCTGCTAGGTGGTTCAGATTCACCGTAACTATCTTCACCAAGATCACTTAAACTACCAGATGTACTAGGCTCCTTTTCATCTTCATCAAACAAGAGGAGTCCGTTACTGTTCTTAGACTGTAAACTAGGAATTCCTTCTGCAGGCGATTTCATTGATGATGGAACAGGCGATTCCCACACACCATACTTTCCCATAACATTAATAACAGCCAATGCATTCCCATTTGGTTTCCATGCCATACAACATATTATATCATCAAATTTCTGCCTGTTGATGTCTTGCCTCTGGTCAACATCCCAAATCAAAAGCTGTTTGTCTAAACCAGAAGTGGCTATATATTTCCCATTAGGTGACCAAGACATGAAACATACAGGTTGGACATGATCACCTCTTAAGGAAAACAGCTTTTCAGCTGTATCTCTATCATACATCACCACATCATTCTTTAAACCCGGCACAGCTAAAGTCTCCCCATCTGGACTCCAGTTGAGTACATTCATGATGGAAAGATTGGAACCAGTGTCGGGAGTTATGCCTTTAAGGGTATGGAGGATTCTTCCAGAATGGAGTTCCCAATATATGACAGTCCCAACTGAATCAACTGATGCCAAGTATTCACTGTTGGGATCAAAAGCCAAGCCAGTGACACACCCTTTATGTCCTTTGAGAACCCTCGCAATTGAACCATCTATTGTATTGACAAGTTTAATTCCCTCATCATCACCAGCAGCTGCCAACATGCTACCAGATTTATTAAAACCAACCGTGCGAATTGGCAGGGTAAATCTGGTGATATTTGTCTGAAACTCTCCACCTGATAAGAAGATCCATAAAATTTTATTCAAAACTATCCATAATGATTGGAAATGGCTAAGGCTTTTATATAGTTGGGAACTTTGATTTAGAGAGAGAGATAACAAGCTCTTATTCTGTAACCTACTAACCGTAATGGCACTACTTCTGACCATTAGAAATGTAAAGGCTGATCTAAAATCTATGACCGGAGTCCATGTAACACGGAACAAAACTTCAGAACTTTAGACATGAAAGTAAAGTAGCTACCATGCCCTTGAGACATAAGAATGAAGAGATTCCTAAAATTTTGAAGTATCTATGATGAAGGCTAAAGTTTTCCACACAAAATTTCAATGATATGGAAGGTAACAAAAAAATTGTGATGAAATACGTACTTTAGACTTCAGATACACATATTACTGATGAGTGAACCGCACACAGTACTTGCATATGGATCTAACATGTTTAATTGGACATATACTAAGTCAGCATATCACAATTCAAATTTCTATAGAATTGTACAGCAAAATCTCTTATTAATTTTCTTTTATTATATTACTACTTTAAAATGATATGTCTTGTAATAAATAAATAAATATATATAAAAATAATTTTAAAAAAAAAAAAACTATTTACAAGAAGAAACTAACGGAAGAATACTAAAAATTATAAATGCTTAGCCATGTCCTAATTTCCTCAAGTTGAGGGATTTGAGGATTCTAGTTCAAGTGCCACACTCACTTGAGTCTATGATCAAGATTATGATGAGACTTACTTATAAAAAATAAAAATAAAAACGGATCATCCAAAATGTAAGTGATAAAATTTGTTGCCGATCCTTGCATACAATATCTGTTTGACAGTTTGCAAAAAGAAAAAGAAATTTTAGATCTAGTAAGAGAGTTAGAAACAGAACTCTCCAAGTTGTTGCCATGTTTGCAAAAAAACATATTTTTCAATGACCATCATATAATCCTCTTTTGAATTTCAAATATACTGGCAACTCCATTTCATTATAGCATCTTTCACCGCAAAATTGAAAATGTGCATAGAAGCCACTAATTAGAGCTTTTTTATTTTATTACCAGTTAAACATAACTAGATACAATTATCTTTGTCTCTAAATAAGAGATTTTATGATATTTGATCACTAAACTCTAATATCAAAATAATACCAGATCACGTATTTGTCTACTTCGATGAACCATTCCAAATTCTTGGTCCAGCATGGGAATGATGAGTAAAATTGGCCTGCACAGTTGCCAGTTTTTAACGACTATATAAGGACAGAAGGATTGATCAAAGTTGTTGGTATTTGATACTTATAGAAGAGGACCAGATTTTTTTTTTTTTTTTTTTTAAAGGTGGAAGTCACTGTTGTAACATAGGACTTACCATGAATATACCTAATAGCAGAAACCTTGTGCAAAGACTTGTGCTTTTCAGTTTGGCTCATACTCTATTTGTAAGACCCTATAAGCAATAGTGCTTGACTGCTCTATAATTTTCATCCAAAGGACTTCTACACTATTTAAGTGTTCGACCAATTACCAATAAACCGAATAACACTTGTAAGAGATTTACTCATTAAACCATGGTCTATTACACCAGGTACAAATCAAACACGAACCATTCCCATTTTTTAGTAAAGATTGAAATGCCCAAACATCTTGATTCAATAATCCATCAATGTGAAACACAAGTGGCTATAATTTCTAACAGCAACTTCGATTATGTAATTTTTGCAATAATTTTCATAGAAATGCCTCATCATAATTGAACCAGACCTAATAAATTTGTTGTTTACATTTCCGGTTCACAATTTATTGCTAATCTAATTTTTAAAAAGTCATAAGTAAATAAAGAACAAATAATACCAAATTCATCAATAGAAAACACCAAATCAAATATTTATGACATTTGGTATGGCAGATTGAATAGGAAAGGAAGAGAAATTACTTGGAAATCTGTAAAGCTTGACAGAATGATCCATAGATCCGGAGGCGAGGCACGTTGAATTAGGGCTGAGAGCTAAAGCGGTGACCCCATCTCTGTGATTCCGAAGAATCTTGGGCGAATTTGTGGGTAAAAGAGGGTCGTGAATACAGATCGATGAGTCCGAAGACGACGAGGTCACAATGTGTTCCGCTTGGAGGTCCCACAAAATCGAACAGAAGGAGGCTGTGTCATTGTTCTTGTGAGCCTCTCGAAGCTTCAACACTCGGATTTTCATGGCGTCCTGGGTTTCTTCTCTCTCTTCTTCTCCTACAACTTTGGTTCAATTGTTTGGTTTGTGTGTGAATTGGGTAGGGTTTTAGTGATAAATTGGTGAAATTTTGGTTTTGGCGGGAAATGGCGGCTTTGATTTTCGCGGGAGGATGCTATGTTTTGGTTCTGTGGACGTGGTGTGGAATTACTGAAAGAGGCCCGATCTTTCGAGTATTTACGAAGAGACATTATAGCTGTAACTATGAAATTACTGAAAATACATCCCATCATGCGTTGAATGGAAATTGGTAATAGTGGAATACTGTACGGGACATAGAAGGGAGTAGGGAGGTTGGGGTGTCAAAGTCAATCTGAGCTCAAAATTGTTGGGATATCTAACCAAAAACGAAGATTGTTTAGATTGAATTTGTTTAATTTGTGGATTTGGTTAGGATTTAATTTAGTTTTAAACTCATTTCTGTTCAAGTTAAACTTAATATAATAATTTATTTTTATTATTTTCACATATTATTAAACTTTCAATAGGTATAATAAAATACTCTTTTTCCCCTCGCAAAGGTTTATTGATTGATGATCTCTTATTAAGTTATTATTAATGAAATTTGATCTACCACTGCAACTCAAATATATATATATATATATATATATATATATCATATTATTGATTTCCTTATATTTACTGTGCATCTTTCACAATGTTGCTCAAAACCCATTCCATTCCATCATAAAAACAAAACAATGCTGGGTTCAATCCATTTCGGCCAACCTGTTAATGTGGTCTAAGAAAATTGCAACAAATGTTAAAATTAAATTGAGAATTGCATAATTTTTGTTTTTGAACATGTGTTTTAAATTTTAATTTTTGCTTTTGATACTTGTTTTAGATTTATTGAGTCACATCGCCAGAAAATTTTGTAAAATTATGCTTTGAGTCTCTGAACTTTGAATAACGTGCACACCATACCTCAGTCTCCATTTAGAATTATTGCAGGAAGTTTGGACATTGTGTTTAAAAAATAAAAAGATATATGGACATTCATGTCCAAGGAGTAGAATGAGTGGTAAAAGTCATACCTCCTAGTTCGACACTTTTGGGCCAACCCTACCAACTATATTCAGTTTAGCACAAATAAATTGATCCGTACATTATGAAACATATATATCAAATTGGAAAAATGCGAGTAATGTGTTTTCTGAATCTGAGTGATTGATCATACCTCGTATAATCATGCTAGTGTGGCGAATTGTCATGTAGGCAAGAATTAGAATGGATTCCCAAATTAATATACTAGTAGTACGAAGCACCTATCCCTATTTTGACTCCACCGATTGTTTTTGTCATTTGAAACTAGATTTGCAAGAGGTTGGCATATGACTATATATATTCATATATACTTTTGTAATCACATGTATGACCTTAGTCTTGAGGACGAATATGCGACACCGCGGGTGACGGAACTCTTAATTAATTTGTTAATCCACATTATTAAAATAAAAGGGCATGGTTGTGGCAACCATGTGACCATGTCCATTAAAAGCAAACAAACTTTCCTTTTCTTGAAACTCCCAAGTTTGAAAATTTAACCCCAACTCCAAGTCTTGGTTTACTTATATTTTTACTCATATCTACATAAACTTTAGAATCCCCAAACCCTCAAAGCTTCCTTTCCGTACATTTTTGGGTACAAATCCAAAGACTAAAACACATGACACTATTAGTAATACAGTACTTATGCTAGCTAGCTGTTTCTGTTCTTGATTTCCCACCAGAAACATTCCTCTATGGTTGGAATCTCCTTTTGATATGAAGTTTTAGAAATGTCTCTAGTTGTGATAGTTTCTGTTAGAGAATTTAAATATTAAAATTAAATATTTTTCATTAACTTAATAAGTTGATGGTACGATAGTCCGAAGGAGTGGAGTCAATAGATATAAATTACATTTTAGGACCATAAAATTTCAAAATATATGGATCGATCTCATTTTGTTGCATACTATGGTAGGAATGTGGAAGCATTCACCCTAACATTTTGGTTAAAAGGATGACCTTAGCTTTGTTTCAAACAAATATATGCCCATTTTCACAGCAGTGGGTTTTATGTAGAATACACAATACCAATCACATGCACTTTGGCGAAATTTGGTAGCATTAAATCCATACATGTTCATTTCACGCCTCAAAATCTGATCCAGTCCTTTAATTAATTCTTTTTTGGTTCCTTCGTTTTTTTCCCCCAAATTTAAACAATTTTGTTAAAACAGAAAGCTAATTACAAGTATAAAAGAATTGTGTTTTTTCCTTCTTTTTTTTTGATAAAAAGAATAAAGAAAGAAAATAAAACTAACTCGCAGCCCAAACAAGGCAAAAGCACAACCAACCAACCCAAAAGGTAAATGCTATGAAGGGAGAATTTTTTAACCATTAAATTGAGAATTTTTTTACATTGTGAAATTAAAAGTTGAATATATTATTTAATATGGACTTGTAAACTATGAAGAGATTCACAACTCTTATTATGGAAGTATTCTTTTTATAATATTGCTTTATTGAAATACAAAATGTATTATATTATATGATAAATATGTATATATGTCACTGCTACCAATATTTTCACAAATTTTGATTGTCATTTGACCATTAATGAAGAATTATTGCACTGTTGGAAGCAAAGTAATGGTAAGGAATGTGCAACGATTACCAAACAACAAGTACCAAGGTGTAACGGTGACTGACATTTATATTACGGTCCAAATTGCCTCCCATGTGCCTATTTGCGCCATGTCGCACAACTTACAACGTTGAATAATGAATATTGAATTGCAAATTCTACGCAGTTATTATTATTATTTTTTTCCTTTATGCTTTCATTGATGGTAGAACCGACTAAGGTTAAATTGACTACAGTAATATATATATATATATAATTGCGTAGGGTTACTCACTGATATAAAGTTGGAGGGCACGCTCTCGTGTTCTGCACTCACAAACCCTAACTATAAAATATTAATGTTAATGTATAGTTAATCATGATGGGTTGGTGATTCAATGCATTGGTTCTGAGCTTGTTTCTCTGAATTTCTGCTTGCCAATCACCAGTTTCACCTTTTACCAAACAATATATAGGAGTACTAATTCATTTAAAATCCTACTGATCGAATATATATATATATATATATATATATATATATATATATATATATATATATATTAAAGTTTTGAAAACAATAGGCCTTGCCCTTCATTTATATTTTATTTTTGTTTTTAAACAATGTTACACGTGCCCAACCCTTCAATTCCTTTAATTTTTATTTTTTCTCTTATAAGTAAATATTTTTTTGTTTTTAGCAGATAAGTAAGTATTCCCCATAAATACAAGTATTTAGTGAAATTGCAACGACCTCTCAGTTGGATAACTCTAGAATGACTCAATTTAATTAATCAAGACTTACATTTTGTAGGAGAGTACAATTAATTTCCTCTCTTTCTTGCCCTTCACCGGCTGTCATGGACTGACACAGCCGATAAGTAAGTATGGTTTGGTGAAATATACATTTTTAGAGCATCTCTAATAAACTCTCTAAAATCATGTACTTCAATAATGCATTTTTGCTCTCCAAAAATATTAATAGTTTTAAATTTTAAAATAAAATTTATTTTTAAACTTTTTCCTAACGGCTATATTTATAACGGTTACATTTTTCATTACTATAAACAACCATTTGTTCATCTCATCATTATTACATTCATCTCAACTTATTATAGCAAAATATCAATTTTTTTCAAGTAAACCTATCATTTGATTTATTAATTTATAGTGAAAACAAAGACACGTTTTTTTTAAAAAAAGATCATATTTTAAAATAAATTTCAATTTGTTAGGGAAAATAAATAAATAAATAAAATTGTTTGGTTAACCAATATAGCTGTGAAGGCACTGTTTGGGTCAACCAAACAGTACCTAAAATGGCTATAATGTCAATATGAATATTGAAAATTTTGAAAACAAAAAAAAAAAATCACTTTTTTTTCCAATTTTTTAAAACTTTTTTTTGCCCAAAAAAACTTTAAGACACTGTTTGTATCAGCCAAATAGTGTTTTAACGGCTCTTTGGTTCGATTATTTTGAGGAAAAAAAAAAAAGTAAGTCAAAAATCTGAATTTTAACTTTTATTTCAGCCAAACATGCTCTTAGAAATAATATTCTGGGTTGATACAATATTCTGGACCTGAATTAAAAAAAAATAAAAGAAAACAAAAATGAGCCCACAAAAAATAGCCCAATAGCCCTTTTGGGCGACCTCCATGGTGATTGGCGATCACAAAAAAGAGACCTACTTTTTTCATATTTCGTTGGAGCATCTCCAAAAGTTGGCCATCTTTGCCAAACGGAGCAAGCTGCTCTTAATTAATTAACTGATGATAGATCATTTTAAAGCACACATGTACTAGCCAAGACTGACTATGAACCTTATAGGGGCCACAACCCTAGTTCCTTTGAAATTCTTCTAAGTTGTAAATCTACTTTTTATTTACTTTCTCCCAGTCCTAGTCATAAAATGGCACTTATACCCATGCGAAACTATTCCCAGTCAAAGCCAACCAAATTCAAGCCGATTCTTGAGACTTCCACAAATGTATGAACTATAGTACTCACTTCACACCTATAAAACCAACTTTAGACTTAGCCCATGTAGCCTCCACTACCATTAGTATATGGTAATACAAAATTAATTACCTCTCCCAATACATTGCCTCATATATATATATATATATATATATATATAATATACACACACACATACATAATGCATATATGTGTGTGTGTATGCTTATATGGGGACTAGAGTTTTTCTCGTAATATAAATATTAAACCGGCCCTTTGATTTTTGTGTAGCTGCATTGGCCACCAAAACAAACTCTCCTCGTTGCATGCATGGCGGCAGACAAGCGCAGAACACTCGTATCTTCCATTCCACGCCATCACAGGCCTTTAACCTAACATTGTGATCCAACCCAGAAAAACCATTTTATACTTTTTTACTCCAACTTTAAACACCGCTTTAGCTTTTGAGTTTTCCCAAGAACTGCATGTTAAGCAAATAGTCTTATTTTATCAATCAAATGGAGAAAAAAAGTAGATGTTGGAACCCTAGCTTTGACTTGTGTTTGGACTTTGGACTTTCTATAAATTAATCCCCTCCTACGTTTCATTTCCTTCCTCTCTCATTCCTTGTTTAACAGACACACCAAAGAAGAAAAGGAAACAAAAATGGTGTCCATGAGGTTTACTAGCTTTGTACTTGGACTTCTATTCATTTTTCTTACCCTAAGGGACAATCTTGCATTTACCAACCAATTCCGTAAGTCGACTCCTTTTTCTTTTTTTATTTTCTTTCTTTCTTTAACCTAATGAATTTCACTTGAAAGTCTAATTAATTCCTACACTTAATATTTGTAGTTATGGAGAAGATGGAAGTTGGTGATAGAATATCTGTAAGTACAGAAAAGGTGAATTATATATTGATTATTTTCACATGCATGATTGTTTCATAAAATCATTATTATATGTTTAACGCTAATTTTTTGTGTCCTAAAATAAAAATGTTACAGGAAATTTTTGATGCTGTTCCTACTGCTGCTGAAGCTAGAATTGTAGGATTTGGAGGGAGAAAAATGATGGGAGAAAGGATCTTGACAAAAGAGACGGTGAACGAGGAAGGCGCGAAACGAGGAGCTTCAATGAATGTAGAACACACACTGAGCAATACAAGTCCTGATCGTGCTGTGAATGTAAAAATGGTTGGTTTTGTATCATTCAGTGCTGATTATAATGTGCCGAAACCCCACCCACCGAAGAATAACTGATGAGAGTGATCGATAGCCCTATGAGAAATCACAATTTTGATAGTTCTTTCTGTTTTGTTTCTATATATATGTATGTTGTAGTGAAAACAAGTGCGAATCATCATACTTGTATGTAAGCAATAGAGAGTATCAATGTTTAAAAGAATATATGTTCAGTTTGAGGAGCAATATATAGAGTTTTTTTTTTTTTTTTTTTTTTTCTCCGGATAATGAAGCAAATATATTAATTGTTAAGGAAATACATTGGGCCCAAGGAGGGCCCATGGGAAACATTTACAGTGCAAGGAACCAGAAAGCCCTAGGGCTCACAGGACTAGAAAGCCCAAACAAGAGCAAAAAGCCCATAACCGAAATGAGGAGGATAGCTGTTGCTAACAACCACGGCAGTTAGAAATGGATATCCCCACAAAAATGCCGGTGACAAGGTTGATTTCAACCACGCTGAGATGCATTGCCTCTGTTCACAGATCTGGAGGCATCGGAGGTGGTCGAATTGTGGCTCGAGGATAGGTCCACTCCATTGCTAGTTGTGAGAATTCCGCATTGTGACGAGATCGCAAAGCTTCTGCAGTGGAGTACAGATTTGCTTCAATACAGATGATTGTGTGGAAGCTGAATTCCTGAAGACCCTATTAGTTGTTTACTACTAGAGCCTATTAGTTGCTTATAGAGCATTTGTGTTTTTTTTCTGGCAGACTTTGGGTAATTAGTTGTTTACTACTAGGAACCTCACAAGAGCACATGCATGATCAGGGGATTAAAAAAATGCACATACATTAATTTATATGGATGTATAAATGCATGCAAACTTCAGTGCTTGGGACAGTTGATCTCCCCAATACTAAACAAATATGTCCAGTTTTGTTCTTAGGTTTTACTTCACATTCACCTTATCGATGTGGAATTACGCAACATGTAATTAACCTAATGATTATTCGCAATCATCCGCATCACACCTACTCATATAATGAGCTACCACATTGAAGGAGTTACCAAAATATAGGGCTGCAATTCAGGCGAATTTGAGGTATAACTTAAGCCCAACCCATCATATGAAATGCTAAACCTAAACCTAACCCAACCCTATCTTCAACCCTAACTATTCAATTCGAGCCCAACCCATCCTTCTACTTTTAAATTCGGGTTTACAACTTGGGCTTAGATTCCATGTTAAAAATTAGAGTAAATTCGAGTTATTCATATAACTAATCTTCATAATGAAAAATTGAACATGATCTTGAATTAGTTTTAGATTAAATTACTGTTAAACAAAAAAAAAAAAAATTAAAGACATTTTATAAATTTTGAATAAATTACAAACAAGTTCTCAGAAAATTAATTATCTTATATGTTAACATGCAATAAGTTAAGATTTAACAAATGAAGTTGAAAAAAAAAAGGTAATCGTAATTTAAAAATTATATATAATGTATTTAAAATTAAAAATATATATAAAAATAATATTAGAATTCGGGTTCGGATTTGCTCGGATTGCTAGTACCTCAACCCAAGCCCAACCTTAATAAAATTCTAATTAAGATTTTTCAACCCAGACTCAATCCTATTTGTAAAAATAATTGTCCAAATCCACAGAAAATCGGGCAAGCTCAAGTTGGGTTTGAGTTGCCCAACCCAAATTGCACCCTTACCAAAATACAACCAAAAGGGTATAGTTTTGAGTACACCACATAATATTGCAAAATTCTTAGGGTGAGCTACATTAAACCTCCCTTTTCTATCTGTGTTTTTCAGTAAACCCCCATTTTTTTATTTTTTTTGTCAAAAAACCCCCCTCAACTATTAGAGGTGGGTGATTTAACTAACTTCCACTAACTAACTATTAGAGGGAGGTGATTTAATTCTCAAATATATATATATATATATATATATATATATAGCAAATAAATTTCAAGAAAAAAAAAAAAAAAAAAAAAAAACCTAGATTTATATTGGGAAAAAAAAATAGGCATTATTTATGGTAATGTCCCTTTCATAAATCTATATAAAATGAAAATCAACAAAAACCAAATAAATGAATGCACAATATAGTTCTCAAATATATATATAGCAAATAAATTTCAAGAGGAAAAAAAAAAAAAAACTAGATTTTTTCCTAAATAAAAAACTATATATTGGTTTGAAGGCTAGATGGAAATGAAAATATATTTAAATAATATTTAATGATACATATTATATATACCATTATATTATGATACAAATTATATATAATATTATAATGATGGGTAAATAAAAGAAGTTGAACAAGAAGAAGATTACATGTTGTTACAATGGTTTTTTTTTTCTCCAATATAAATCTAGGTTTTTTTTCTTGAAATTTATTTGTTATATATATATATATATATATATATATATATATATTTGAGAATTATATTATGTATTCATTTATTTGGTTTTTATTGATTTTCATTTTATATAGATTTATTAAAGGGACACTACCAGAAATAATGCCTATTTTTTTTTTTTTTAGCTGATATAAATCTACGGTTTTTTTTTTTTTTTCTTGAAATTTATTTGCTATATATACATATATATATTTGAGAATTAAATCACCCCCCTAATAGTTAGTTAAACCACCCCTTCTAATAGTTGAGGGGGGATTTTTGACAAAAAATAATAATAAAGGAGAATTTACTGAAAAACACAGATAGAAAAAAAAAAAGATTTAACGTACTTCACCCAATTTCTTATACTAGAGAAGATTTTTCCTGTCTTTCAATTAGTGAAGGTTATGAAAATCAAACTATCTAAGTCGGGATCACACACAACTGCTTGTTATATTATCTTTATTTTTCCCAACCTTAATTTCGAGTCTCTTCCCATCCCTATCATTTGCTTTTAGGATTTTTTTTTTAATTATTTTTTTATGTATCAATTTGCTTTTAGGATTTTATCATGCATCCATTTGTGCTGTGGGCAGGCGTGGGGTTGTACTTGATTGAAAAAAAGAAATTGCAAAAATATAGATTAATCAAATCAAAATGTAATCATTGCACTAAAATACAATCGGTAATAAATCCCACATTGGGTCATTGAGTCGTTGCACTTTATTTATTTATTTTGAAAAGTCAAACAATTTTTATAAATTTAAGAAATGCACAATTGGCAATTGCCAATAAGAAAGAAAAGAGTCTGAACCAAACAAAGACCCGAAAACAAAAATGATTGGCCATACAGGCCAACCTTGCTAAACAATAAAAACCACGTCAGGCCCATAAGCCCTACAACATTTGAAGTTGGCGGATCTCCAATGATTTAATTAGCCTATACTTCAAGGGAGGCATTGAACATGAGAAAATATTGAACATAATAAAATACTTTTTTCAACCAACATGACCATTAATAATGTAGAGAATTCTTTAAATGAACCTCTTTTAGCTCCACCAGCTCACTGACACCTTGAGCCATCGATGAATCAACAATTGGAGCCATCGAATCAACCACCTCCTCTTGACAAAGTAAGTATATCACATCGTTCAGACGCATCAAAGGCCGCATCCTTGCTATAAAGTACAATAAAGAAAAATTTATAAATATAAAATATACATATATAGTAATAAATTTAAAAAGAAAAAAAAAAGTTATATTACAACATACATCAAAAGAGGAAAAAAAACGAAAAATGAGAGGGTAAAAAAGAAAAAGAAAAAAAGATTTGACGGGGAATATATATATATATATATATATATGAGGGGTAGATGTGGGAAACATCTAACCTTACGCTTAATATTGGTGAAGGTTACTTTGCCATTCTTGAGAATTTAATTTATCTAGTGAGGGAAAGGGGAATTTTTGAAAATTAACCATGGAATGCATCCACAACACCAGCGGCTTTCATCATGAGCATGAGAGTGAGAGCAGGAGACACTTCCATTGTCACAGTCATCACGCTTTTTGTTAAGAGCAAGACTAATTTCTTCTTCAGCTGACCCGTCAATGATTCCCAAATTCCCACACCCATCATCCTTCCCTTCTCGTGCTTCATCATCATGAGAGTGAGAGCAGGAGGCACTTCCATTTAATTCAATGATTTCAGCCCATCACCATCATCAATAGCCTTCCTTCTAATTACATCTTCCTTGTACATTAGACGGAGTCCCCACTTCCTCACCATCGTATCCTCTTCGTAATAGCAAACCTCAAATTCGCTGACATGTTGACGCTCATCACGTACATAGTCATTACGATAAAATGGATAATATTGAAAGTAGATATGTCCCGAATCAACGGTTGTACCTTCGGGAATGAGGAAGAATGTCGTTTGATGGCCCATGATGGCCCGGGCGGAGATGCTACGCATTGCAGTTGCGGAGTCGAAAGCAACACACACGGCAACTCCCAAAAATGTCTCGTCGTTAAACCAATCTGGAGGCAGTTGCACAGATGCGTTAGTAGCCTCATACTGATGGGTGAACCACTCTGGAATCTCTCTTCCCGGTAAAAGCATACGAGGGCAAAAATTCCAATAACAGATATTCTGTACCAAGAAAACATGTCATTCATTCATATATACTATATATGTGCAAATATATATATATATATATATATATAGAAAGAATTAAGAGAGAGACTAACCTGAAGCACAATTCTCAGCAACATATCAACCTCGTTTTCACTCTCTTTATTCTCTAACAGCTTCGTGCAATTAGTGAAACTGACTTTGTCCATCCTAGACAGATCTCCGATGCTTATTAAAGATTGGCAATCATCTGCCTGAAAGTAACGACTGAATGGAAGCTCTGGCAATGCTTTCAGCCTCTTGCACCCTACTAACTCAAACATTTCAAGATCGGGAAGCTGAGAGATGCTTGAAGGTAAACTTTCAAAATTGTTTCTGTTTAAATACAACTCTTTCAAAGAGGATAAACTGCCAATGTCACTGGGAATCACAGAGAGATTGCAATCATTGAGATTAAGTTCTCTTAAGGAATATAAACCTGCAACAGAAGGAAGCACCAAACCCGGAAAATGTTCACGTTTACGTGCTAAGAAAAACAAAGAGGATGACTGAGTCGACATTGTTCCCTTGCATCCACTAAGGGATAAGTCTTTGAGCTCTTTCAAAAGATTAATGGAGGATGGTAGTCGCTTGATACCAGTTTTATCTGCATGAAGCTCCTCTAAACATTTTAAATTTCCAATATCTTCTGGCAATTCCTCAAGTGTTGAACAGCCGGTGAGTTCAAGATTTTTCAAACAGCTCAACCTACAAATGGTTTCTGGAAGAAGTGAAAGGTTTTTGCATTCACGTAAATCCATCAAAATAAGGCTAGTGAGACGTTCAATTGACGAGGGCAGTTCTTTTATGGCAGTCCTATCCAAATACAGCTCTGATAGATGTACCATATCTCCCAATATTTCTGGAAAATTTTCTAATCTCCAGCAGCCTGATAAATTCAGTGTCTCAAGATATTCCAAATGAATACTGCTTGGAAATTTCTTAAGATTTGTGCAACCTCTCAAATTTAAGAAAACAAGCCTTTTGAGTCCCCCAAGGGATGGGTGAACCTCCACCAAACTCGTGCAATCCTCAAGAATCAGTGTCTCCAGTTTTGGAACAACTGTGAAGTCCGGGGAACTGGATAGCCTATGGGAGTGACTGAGATTGATGACTTTCAGATTGGGCAGAGGCTGTTGAAAGAAATGGAAAATATTAGAATAACTGATCACTCTCACAAACATGACAATATTCAATAAAGGTAAAATACATACTATTATTGATCAGACCTTTATTTCCTTCCAAAGTCGTACAATGCGGCTGTAACACATTTTGAGTTCAACAAGATTCTCTGCCCGAAAACTTGCTGGCAAATAGTTTGAAGGGTATGCATGCCAATCAAGCCACTTCAACTGATTTGAAAGATGTGCAGCGCTACCACGAGAACCATCAGAAAACAACACATTTTGCAAAATGAGCAGCCTTAAATTGGTCATCTTTGTGAAGGCTTCAGTACTAAGGCCAACATCTTCCGCTTCGACCAGTTCCAAAACTATGGCTTTAACTTTTTTAGTCCCCTAGCACAAAACATAAGTAAAATAGAAAATATGTGTTAGGATTACAAAATGTGGCTGCTTCAATAACATGTCTGTTAGTAAAAATGCTACATTAATTTTCACAAGCCTTCTTACCGAATTTTCCGCCAATACATTACAAACTTCCTTTCGAACCCATAACCTGCTACGTTCCCCAGGCTCTGGAGATTCTTCACGAACAATATACCAGCCCATTTCCTGTACCAAATCATGCATCGAAAAGTGATCGTCTGACATAGTTAAGAGAGATTTTTGAATGAGAACACGTATTCCATAATCTGGTTTGAAGCCGCAGCAACCGTCGAGTATTCTTGTCACAAAATCCTTTTGTTTCCCTTTGAAGAAACATGCAATATCAAGGAAAATTTTCTTCTCCAATTTGGTCAGTCCATCGTAACTGATCTTAAGCACTTTGAGAATATTTTCGTCTGAAATTGTATGCAGCTGACTCAATGCACTCGTCCATTCCTCAACTGTTTTACCACATAGAGAGGAACCCAAAATTCTAAGAGCTAATGGAAGGCCACCAGTATAGTGTACTATGTCCTCTGAGAGTACCTTGTAATCTTCATGTGGAGAACTTTGAAAAAAGGCCTTTGAAGAAAAGAGCTGGATAGCTTCATTAAATTTCAATGCCTTGGCTTCGTATAGTTGAGTCACTCCGTGACTTATTAGCAGCTGTTCATCTCTTGTTGTTATGATGATTCTACTTCCAGAACCAAACCAATGCTTTCTAGCTAATGCTTCTAGTTGTTGCACTTGATCCACATCATCAAGAACGACAAGAACCCGTCTGCATCGTAGCCTGTATCTTATCGCATCTGCTGCTAAACCAACAAAAGTACTTCCATTTAAGATTTGTGAATGGAGCTTTTCTTGTAAAGCTTCCAAATCTTTACTACTTTCTGAGTTTTCTCTAACATTTCTAAGAAAGCAACTACCTTGAAACTGATGGGAGATCCGGTCATATACAGCTTTGGCAATAGTACTCTTTCCTATGCCCCCCATTCCCCATATACCTACAGAGCGAACATCATTCAACTCCATACGTAACAATGATTCCACTTCCTTCACATGGGACTCTATCCCAATCAGATCATCATCATCGCCAACAATTGGAGATGAACGGTTCAGTTTACTGAAAATATCTCCAATAATTTTTTGGATACATTCTGACTCGTGCCTGCAAAGTTAGACAGTTGCCACTATGGTGAGTTGGAATAAATCATAACGAGAGATAAAATTAATACAAGTACATGTGATAGACAAATTTTGTTTTTGCAACAAAACAAATACTCAAATTGAATACAAGGCTTGCTTGGTTTGTAACTTTGAAAACAATTTTTAGAAATTCAGAAAATAGAGAACATTTTTCAGAGAACTATTTAAGACTATTATTTGAAAATAGGCATTTTTATATTTGAGTATTCAGAAAACAGTTTTCAAAAAACTGAACTAAGCAGGGTTGTTTTGTACAGTTTTCTGTTTTTGGTTTTTCGGGAACAGAAAACTGTTTATATAGTTACAAACCAAGCAAAGTAATAGAAAGCACAATTAATAGATTTAATTGTATTGACACAATGACACACATGTATATTACTCCTTCCATTCAAAATAGTTGTCCATCTTTTTATTTTAGGATGCTCCATTCCAAAAACATTTCTAAACTATCATTTTAACTAAACAACTACACTAATTACAAGCACTATTTTGTCTTTTAGTAAGGGCATATTTGAAGCTTTACTCTTATTAATATAATAAAAAATTATTAAAACTCCATTACCATAAAAGAATTAGATTCATGTGCCAGGACTTGTATATTGGGACAAAAAGAATATGTTTTAGCTAGGTTGACCTGTTGGTTCACACACACTGTAGAGTTATTAAAAAAGCATAAAACAAAAGTACCCCTAGTATTGCCCAAGTATTGACCACCTTGTCTTAAAGAAATGAAAAGCATTGTTATATGCCTTTCAGGTTTGAAAGTACTGTTTGAGACCCTTTCAAACACAGTAGAATATACAACAAAAAATAATAATAAAAAAAATTATTGAAGTTGCACGTGTAGGTCTAGTAATTCAATTGTTGAATGATTTAATATTAGGAATTACCATTGAGTTCAAGTGACAAGAAGAAACACAAGAAGAAAAAAAAAAAAAAAAAGTAATGTTAGAGATCTCCTTTTATGAATACTAGGAAAAAGGACAAGAGGAATGCATGTGACTAAAATTTTATAAAATTTTAAAAAAAAAAATAATTAATTAATTAATTTTACACCATATATATATTTTTTTCCTCTGTAAATAAGTAATAGAATATAAGTAAAGAATATACATACCCCACGGCCCAACAGTTCAGGCCCAGAGACCAAACAGGCCACAGAAGGAAAGGATAAAAAACAAACCAAGAGCCCAAAAAAGCAGAGAGAGTACAACAATTTTTATTAGTATAGGTTCAAAAAATTTTTAGTATATGTAAGGTAAAAAGTACCTTTAGTCCCCCCAATAATTTTTTTAGTTTATTATATTTATATAATTTATTATAGAGTAAAGTACACTAAATCCCTCTTAACTTTCTTCTCGCTTTCAAAAAATCCCTGCACTATGAGAAAGACACTTCCCCTAAATTATTTCATTTGTCGCAAATGTCAAGTTACCATTAAAAACCTAACAAAAATGAAGGCATGTTTGTCGCCCGCCGCCGGGGGGGGGGGGGGGGGGGGGGGGGTGGGGGATTTTAAAAAGACAAAATTAACCCTCATGACCATTAAGATGTAAAATAAGGTAAAGTGCAAAAAAACCCCTTCAATTATTGGCAATTTTGCAGAAAACCCCCCTGATCTACTAATTTGGGATATAACCCCCCTGAACTAACCAATTTGGTGCAATTAACCCCGTCCGGTGATAAGCCAGTTGAATTTGACCGTAAAGGCGCACATGATGGGTCACGTGACAACCCAAATTTCTTTAAATGACCATACAACCCTTTACCTTTACACCCAAACACGCCTTTATGCTAAATACACACTGTTCATCGTAATAAAACAGATGATACCATCACCACCATCCGGCGCGTCCCCACAACTACACCTTCGACGGCGGCTTTGCCCAACGACTCTAATCAGGTCCTTCGTGAATGAAATTATGGTATCTCCCTTGTCGTCCCTAAAACGTGTTGAGCTAAGCCGGTTGTCTGCACCGTGGTGAGTCCGGAGCGAGTGGGTGAGTTCCAGTTTGGGGACCAGGGTCGTTGTGTTGATCTCGGCGGCGTTACTGGTCCGGAAGATGCAGTTCATATGGAAATCATTGAATTGAAAAAATTCATTCCTTAGACGACATCAACCGTTTCCACCATTCCGATTCCAACAACAATTACAAGATCTCATATTCTTGCATCCGAAAACGTCAATGCCCCGTAAATGGATGGCTTTGCCCAAATCAGCCTCCGCTCCTTCCCGGTGCTTGACAGTGGCAGGGATAGGCTCAATTGATGGTGTCGGCTGCGATGAAGGCGGCGGCGAGCTAGGAATGGGGAGGTCGACGGATAAGGCAAAGCTCGGCGTTGACTTGCGGCGGTGATCGGAACACGGACACTATCACCGCACGATACCCAACACACTAACCCTGTTAACAGATCCAAGAACCTCCTCACCGTCCTCTGCCGTAAGTCTCTGGCGCCCACCGCCGCCGTCGACTGTAGCAGAATTAAGTTTTGCCGCTGCGTCGCCGTCACCTTTCTTCTTCTCTTCTGGTGGTAACCAAATCCTCGGCTTATTCGACATCTTGAAGTTCAATCCAATCGCAGAGCGCCATGGATTCATAAGGCATGAATTTAAGAAATTTTTGGATGCCATCGAGGACTTCGCCGGTCTGTAGGAGGGTGCCGTCAGGGAGGAATTGAATGAAAGAACACCAAATGTCGGTAAGAGTCGGATTTGGTTGGTCTGGAGGTCCAAGGCGACAGAGATGGACCGATTGGATTGATCCACACACATCCATCGAAGCCACGATCTGAAGTTGTGTAACTCGTCGTACGCGTGTGAAACACTACACAAGAATGCTCGTTCTTTTACTGAAACAACATAGTTTTATGTAAGGGGTAAAATTGTCTTTTACTATTTTTATTTACACTAATTGGTCGGAGATGTCACATTGGGGGTTAATTGCACCAAATTCAATAGTTGAAGGGGGCAAATTGTAGTTCAGGGGGTTAATTGCACATGACCAATAGTTGAAGGGTTTTTTTTGCACTTTATCCTATAAAATATGATATATATATATATATATATTCTAACAGGGGTCTTGTTCCCAACCCTCCATCTTCAAACCCTCTTCTAATTGATCGGATCATCGGACACGAATGAAAGAAGAAATGAAAAATCCTAATTTTGTTGTAACCATTTGTTTTCTTTATGTACAAAAGTTCCAACGAATAGTTCCACCATTATTCAACAAAATAAAAAATAAAAAAATAAAATAAATTCTTTCGTAAAAAAGTTAAGCAAAATAAAATATGACATGAAATCGTCAAAACCAACAGAGGTTGACAGATTGGGGTGCCGAAAGTTCATAATCAACGACACTCACGCTCTCCAGCAGATCCCTAATCTTCTCTTTCTCAACATTCACCAACTCCACAATTGAATCCATTGCCTCCAATTCTCTCAATCCCGGAGGCAATCGAAAACCTTTTTCCCTCGCCGGAGAAAAATTCTCCCCCAAGCTTAGAACGTTCCTTAATCCCTCCAATCACTCCCAAAATCTCCCTTTTCTCTTTCTGCTCCAAACCCTTCTTTAACATCAAGAACACGACTCATGGTTGAACCGGGCCGTGGGACCACCGGACAGGAGGGATCATCAACGACCCAATCGACGGGCATTATTATGTCTTCACAAATCGGCTGGAATGATTCTCCGACGACGACCAAGTGGCTGGGATAAGCCGAATAGGCATTGAGGTCGTCTTTGGAATTGTATCGGCTGTGCATCATATGAGTGAAGGTCAAGGCGGATGAGGGATTACGGCGAAGTGGTCTGGTGGTGAGGGGGCGTTGACCATATTGATGGGATTGGTTTACTTACTCGTTGTTGTGATGGACCGGACGATTTGGGTGAGCCTAGCTCACGCCCGGTTTAGCCAATATATTAATGTGTTGTCATGTTTCTATTGGACTTTAAAAGTGTATTTGCTACATCAGCAACTGAAGTTAGATACAACTTCAAACGACGCTGTTCATTTTAAGGGTTAAAAGGTCATTTTCTTTTTTAGTTAACGGCCTATTGACAACTTGCCCTTAAGTGCAACAAAATAATAGTTTAGAAAATTTTACTTACTTCAGGGGGTTTATTGTAATTGGTTCATACTTTAAGGAGGTTTAATGCACTTTACCTTTTATTATATCCATACTTTAAACATATTTATTATGAGTAATGATGCTCTGTCTGATCAAATTGGCATATTTTTAGTCCGAATCCTACGTGTATCTGCCACATAATTACCTAAATAATTAATATTTTATTTGCCGGCTAAAAAGATACCAAAAATAAATATTGGAAAGAAGCTGAAGAGATTTTGATGATGCCTTTCTATCTCTGTGATTTCTCCATTCCTCTTCTTGATTCATGGTTCTCTTTTCCACTTTGCAAAATTGAAGGGAAAACAAAGCATTGGGAAATCTCTATTGGTTCATAAAATTAAAGGGGAAAATTCATAAAATTAAAGGGGAAAATACACATAAACGTATATGTTTCCTTGAAAAAAAAAAACCCTAATAAGATTGAAGGTAATGTATTCATGTTTTTTTTTTTTTTTTAATATATATTTTGCCTTCTGTATATTGTAGCAGTTTTGTGGATTTTATTTAAAAAAAATAAAAAAATCACAGAAGCAACAGAACAAAGAGGAGGAATGGAGAAATCAAAGAGAGGGGTCGTCAAAATTTCTTCTTTCCATATTTATTTTTGGTATGTTTAGCGCCCAAATAAAATATCAACAATTTAGGTAATTATAGGATTCGGATTAGGAATAGGCCAATTTGATCGAACAGAGTATCATTACTCATTTATTATATATAGTTTATTTCTTTTAACATATTTTTAAAATAAAAAATCTTCTTTTTCGTTTTTTGAATCTCTTGTCCCACGCATTGGGGGTTTGTTTGTTTTTTTATGTTATATATTATCTTATACAATGCTTTGACCCAATTTTTTGTTTGTTTCCTTCATGGATCTACCTCCACCCCAGCTTTTCTTTTCCTTGCAATATGGCTTTTATTTTTTATTTTTATTTTATTTTGTGCAGAATGCAAACGCAATTCTCTTCCCATTCTCTCTTCTCTGGGTTCCCTCACTCTGCATTTTGTTTTTTCTGTTTTCAGATTGTATGATTTTGGCCATTGCATCTTAAGAATCTCAATCGATTAAAGTTTAATATCAATTGAATAATTTAAATATATATATATATCAACTTGCACTCTTTCATAATTCATTCCTTTTTTGTTTCACGACAAAGTTTGGGATCGAGACAAGTGGAAAAGATCAGACTATGGAGGCCATCATATTTAGACCAAACAGACACTGGTTCTATTTTCAAATTCAAAAATTTTCTCACTTTATATTTGATTTTTCTACTTTCAGATCTATGATTTTGAGCACACTGCATCTAAAAAATCATAGCGAACTGAGGTATGGTGTCTCTCTTCATTTCTCAATCACTCAAAGTGCAATATTACTTTCCAAAAAAACATAAAAAATCAAATTGCTCTCTTTCAAGAACCGAATAACTGAATATGTAAATTTTCACCAATTTTCAAAAATATAATTTTGTTTGAACGATTGTGCTATTTTTTTTCATAAGCAAGTATTAATTTGTGCTATTAGTATATGAATTCTTTATTCATTTATAAACTGAAGTGTTTATTTTTTTAATTGAATGTTCTTTAAATTTTGACTTAATCTTATTTGTATTTGTGTTTTTAAGGGACTCAAAATTGTTATATATTTTTCAATTATCCAAAAACAAGAAATAAAAAGGAGAGAAGTGGAACTAAGCAAGCAATCGGTAAATAAAGTTATGTTAATTACCCGCTTGCTATGTCCGGAACGCTATGTCCGCTCAAGTTTGCTGCTTGAGTGAGAGCTGTCTTCCACCTCTGAACTTTGTCCTTGTTCCTCCCTTTCTCATGAATCTTAAAGGCTGATTCAAAGCTCCCTATTTGGTACCGCACTTCTGAAGGAACCACATCATAGAAGACCGGTATGACTGTTTGCCCCATCGTCTCCTTGCATTCAAGGATTTTAACCAGTTCATCCAAACACCACCTGGAGGAAGCATAGTTTTTGGAGAAAATTATGAGAGCGATCCTTGATTCTTTGATTGCTTTGAGGAGTGCGGGTGAAATTTCTTCCCCACTTTTGAGTTCTTTGTCATCTTTGAAGGTGTAGATTCCATTAAGGAAAAAAGCTCGATACAAATGGTCTACAAAGTTCTTGCGAGTATCTTCACCTCTAAAGCTCAAGAATACTTCGTGAATGGTAGGGGTCGGAGAGGAAGAAGCTATGTGTATGTGTGTGCTGGTGGAAGCCATTGGGAACCAAAAATTAAGCTGAAGATTTTGAAGGAAGGTACCAAGAATTAAGATGAGATGAGAGGTTATGTAGGTTTAAAGATTCCCATTACCAGAAGTCAATGACACAAAGTCCAATAACGCGTGGTGAAGGAATCTGGTGACTAAAATAGATTAATTGTGACTATACACTATACAATTATATATATCTGGCAGACAGACTTGTCACTTCATAGTACGGTTAGTATACCTAATATAGTATACAATTAAATAGATAATGTAATTAAATATAATATTCTTTCCGTCTATTATATGTTGTCTATCATTAATTTTATAACTTTTTAAGGAGACGTATAATTAATGTATTATTTTTATTTTAAATTATTAAGTTGTCTTTCAAACTTTAAATATATATAACACCAAGTTGTAAGATTTTTGAAAAGTTAGAAAGGTAATTATGGAAAAATGATATTTATTTTATTTAACTTTATTTATTTTATTTAACTTTTCAAAATGAACATTTAATTTGCGACACTCTAAAAGGAAAAAATGAATAACTAATAAAGGACAGAAGGAATATATATGTATATATATATATATATATATATATATATATATATATATATACAATTTTGTTCCGATTCCCACGGGCTGAGAACCAGAACCGAACTGTAAATGAACGATTCCTGATTTTCGGAATTGGAATTGAAACCGTGAGAATCGGAACCGAAGCTCTAGTTTAGTTCGGTTCTACGGTTTCACGGTTCTTTTGTGCACCCTAGGTGATAGGGTAATAGCTTAAATGTAATTAGGCTTAATGTTTAACGAGGTTGGGCTTAAAATTAAAATGAAGTTGGGCTTGTATGAATTTGGATTCAGTTTAGATTAAATGGGCTAATGTAAAAAATAATAATAATAATAATAATAAAACTAAATGGGTCTTTTACTAAACGAGCTTGTTCACAAGCCTAACGAGCCAAAGTCAGTATTGTTCAAGCTCGGCTCGTTTAATAAACGAGCCTTAAAAATGTGTTCAAGTTCGACTCGTTTACTTCGCAAATGAATCGGAGCCGAACTTTTAACGAGTCGAGTCCGAATTACTCATTAACAACTCAGTTCATTTGTAGACCTAAATAAAGTAAAAGATGACTCCAGAGTTTTGAGTGTGTAAACTCTTATTGGAAAAAATCCAACCAATCGGGATGAAAATTATGGAGACTTTAGTAGTTTCATGCAAATCAATCCACTATCTCCAAAGCAAAATATAACATATTTTGATTCAAGCTCATTCCCACTGCTAAAAACTAGTTGATGAACATCTTTAATGATATACAGTGTAAGAAAGCTGCTTTTTTTACAAGCCACCTTATGACGCTTCCTGCCAAAACATTAAAAACATCCTCTAACAAGCCACAATCCGCTCATATCCTTCACTTCAACATTCTCAGCATTGACGTATTTTTTCTATTTCTTTTTAATGTCGTTTTGAACAAGGGCGAATCCAGGATTTTTAGGTGGGGTGGGCTAACATTAAACATGAATATTAAGGAATTGGTTTAGGCCTTTATTTTAATATGGTAGATGAGTTTACTTGGGCTTCATTGGGTTTTTGAGGTGGGCTAATACTATTATTTATTTATTTATTTTATTTTTTTTTGGGCTGGGCCAATATATTAGTATAGTAAAAAAAAAAAAAATTAAATTTTTTTTTTTTAGGGTAGGCTAAAGCCCACCCTTGCCTACCCCTGTGTCCACCCTTGGTTTTGAATATTATTATTTTGATTTTTTCACTCTTACGCATCTATCTTTGTAAAATTTTACAAAATGGGCGCCTCCTAAAATTTATCCTTTCTGAAAATATGTGATCCTTCCTCTTATTTTATCTTTTACTCTTATTCTTTATCAAATTTCTTTAATTCCTTCAAAAAGTTTTGTATTTATTTTCTTAAATTAAAGTTAAACACCTTTTTTTTTTTTTTTTTTTTTTTTTTTTTCATTCTTTATCAGCTAAGGGCTAGTTTGGTGTGGTTTAATAAAATAAAGTGGGAATGAATTGAATCAAATAATTGAATGAGAATGGAATTGACCATTCTCATTCCCATGTTTGGTTGTAAAGAAAAATATCCTAATGTGAAAATGGAATGATCATTCTTTTACGTAAGAATTATCATTCTCGGAGAATTGGCAAGAATCATCATTCCAACTTTAAAGTTCGTTACCAAACTAAAGAATGAAAACAAAAACATTCTATTCTCACTTCATTTAATTCCATTCACTCACACCAAACATGACCTAAATTCACATGTGCACACATTGCCCACGCATGGAGAGATTATACATACCCCACGGTCCAACAGCTCAAACCCATAGATCAGACGGGCCACGGAAGGAAAGAATAAAAAACAAACCAAGAGCCCAAAAAAGCAGAGAGAGCACAACAATTTTTATTAGTATAGGTTCAAAAAAATTGTAGTATAACCTGTGTAAGGTAAAAAGTACCTTTGGGCCCAGTAAATTTTTTAGTTTATTATATATATATAATTTATACTTTCTTCTCTCTTCCAAAAAATCCCTTAACTATAAGAAAGACACTTAACCCTCTAAACAATTTCATTTGTTGCAAATGTTAAGTCACAGTTAAAAATCTAACAGAAATGAAGGCATGTGTTGTCACGTGATAGTGGTGGGCAAAAAATTCGCGAATCCGTGGATCCGATCCGTACGGATCAGATTGGATTGTCAAACCCACGGATCGTTGGCGGATTTAAATTTTTTGACAATTAGTTCTATAATATTATACAATTATTTTTATAGTATTATACAATACAATTAGTTTTATAGTATTATACAAATACAACCAGTGGAGTAGTGGACCATTGACAGACATCACAAACCAACTTTTCTCTTTTTTTCATTTAACCTAAACCTAGCCAAGATAAAATAACTCAAAGAAGAGCAATGACAAGCGGCCGCCTCACCTCACCTCTCTTCTTCTGATCTACTTCTCCTTCACCAAATCAAACCCTAGCCACCGATCGGTGAGAAAACCGCCGCCTCACCTCTTTTTTTTTGATTTGCTTTGCCATCTTCTTCACCAAATCGAAACATAGCCACCGATCTGCTCTTCTCAGAATACTGCCGCCTCACCTTTCTTCTTCTGATCTGCTCTGCCACCTCTTTCACCAAATCGAAACATAGCCACTGATCTGCTCTTCTCAGAATACCGCCGCCTCACTTCTCTTCTCGACTTCTTCCGCGCTTTCATCGTCTGGATCTGCACTTTCATAGTTTTTATGCACTTTCATCTTTGGTGAAAATAGACAATTTTGGAAAATTTAGTTCGCGAATTGAGAACCGATCCGTCATTTCACGGATTCGATCCAATCCGATTCGTAGACTAACGGATTAGTGGTGAATTCAAAATCTCCTAATCCGTTGCTAGCGGATCGGATTAGGTAATTCGATCCATGGCCACCCCTGTCGCGGAGGGGGGAATTAAGACTCATGACTAAAAGACAAAATTAAGACTCATGACTATTAAGATATAAAATATGATATATATTCTAACAGGGGTGTTGTTCCCAACCCTTCATCTTCAAACCCTCTTCCAATTGATTAGATCATCGGACACGAATGAAAGAAGAAATGAAAATCTTAATTTTGTTGTAACCATTTGTTTTCTTTATGTACAAAAGTTCCAACAGATAGTTCCACCATTGTTCAACACAAGAAAAGAACAAAAAAAAACAATTAAAATTCCCTCGTAAAGCAAAAGAAAATATAACATGAAATCATCAAAACCAGCAGAGGTTGGCAGATTGGGGTGCCGGAAGTTCGTAATCAAAGATAATCACGCTCTCTAGCAGATCCCTAATCTTCTCTTTCTCAACATTCACCAACTCCACAATCGAATCCATCGCCTCCAATTCTCTCAATCCCGGAGGCAATCGAAAACCTTTTTCCCTCGCCGGAGAGAAATTCTCCCCTAAGCTGAGAACGTTCCTTAATCCCTCCAATCACTCCCAAAATCTCCCTTTTCTCTTTCTCTTCCAAACCCTCCTTCAACTTCAAGAATGCGACTCATGGTCGAATCGGGCCATGGGACCACCAGACCGAAGAGATCATCAACGACCCAATCGACGGGCATTATTATGTCTTCACAAATTGGCCGGAGTGATTCTCCGACAACGACCGGGTGGCTGGGATGAGCCGAATAGGCGTTGAGGTTGTCTTTGGAATTATATCGGCTGCGTAACATTGAGTGAAGGTGAAGGCGGAGAAGGGGTTACGAAAAATTGGTCTGGTGGTGAGGGGGCGTTGACTATACTGACGGGTTTGGTTTACCCGCTACTGTGATGGACCGGACGGTTTGGGTGAGCCCAGCTCAAGCCCGGTTTAGCCAATATATTAATGTGTTGTCACGTTTCTATTGGACTTTAAGACTGTATCTGCTACATCAGCAACTGAAGTTAGATACAACTTCAAATGACGCCGTTCATTTTAGGGGTTAAAAGGCCATTTTCTTTTTCCGTTAACGGCCTATTGACAACTTGCTCTTAAATGCAACAAAATAATAGTTTAGATTTATTGTAATTGAGTCATAATTTAGGAGTTTTAATGCACTTTATCCTTTATTATATTCATACTTTTAACATATTTAATAATATTTATTATATAGTTTACCTCTTTTAACATATTTTTAAAATTAAAAATCTTCTTTTTCGTTTTTTGAATACCGCATTACACTTGCACTTTCTAAAATTTACTTTATTGACAGTCAGATGAAAATATGATGTTTTTTGAAAATAACAAGCATGTTAAATTTTGGATCTAAACAAAGCCTAAAAGTAGGTGAAATGTCTAATTAACCCTTTAATATCTTATTAATTGTCAATATAAAATATCAGAACAATTAAATGACTAAAATGCCCTTATGCAATATTAATATTAGTTTTTTACTTTTAATTTTCCTGACCTTTTTTTTCCCAAAAGTCAAAACCATCGAGATCCCACTAATTCTTCCACAACTTGCTACCTGCGAAAGCTTTTCCGACAATGGAGATCCGACAAAATGGCTCTGGCGACGACGAATCAACATGACGACTGGTTTTTTGATGGTGGTTGTTGGCGACGACAACAGCGAGGCGCGATTCCAACGATGACGGCAGCAAATTCCGACGACGACGCAACAGCGAAGACACTCCAAGGATGGCGACGGTTGATGACGATGAAAGCTTGAGAAGATTCGGGCGACGGTTGTGGCAGATTTTGGCTATTTCATTTGCTATTATTTAATTCGCTTTGTGATCTTAATTAGGGTTTGGGCGATGGTGATGGGACCATGAAATTAGGGACTCTGAATTCGAAGCCTAATCAGTGCTTCGATTTGGAGACTAACGTCTCTTTTTGGTCGCCGGTCAGCACACAGAAAGTCGTAGTTGCCAAGTGCGCAGTTCATTGAGAACCATTCCAAGAACTATCTCCAAGGCTTGTTAGTCCGTAATAAAAGTTTTATTTTTTTATTTTTCTCTCTCTCTTGACATGTATATATGTATATATATGTGTGTGTAGAGAACAAAAAAAACCTTTCAGTTATCCCTTCAATTAGGGCAATTTGGTTTGCAATTTGGGTCCTTGTTTGCAGATGGAAACGTATATATAATTATATATATGTACATGAGTGTGTCTATATATATATATATGCAGATAAGAATCGGTTATAGTTGATAGCGCAATCGGTTTGATTCTATTTATGGGTTTTGCAATGTCTAGCTTTGTTCATTGTTTGAAGCTTGGGGATGATTTGGAAATGCAGTACTGAATCTACCTCTTATTGTTTTATATGGACAATATTACACGTGTGTGTGTGTATATATATATATATAAATGTATAATTTTAATGGAGTCTCTCTCTCTAAAGAACATCAATGTCATTGATAGAGAGTCTAACGGTATATATGTATACATATATATTTTGTGGTTATGAATTGTGAATATAGTGTGGGAGAGAGGGCATTCAAGTCATTTTATGATATAAATATGGTTGTTGACAAGTCAAAGGGCATTTAGCTTATTTTATCGTGTTCAAAAAATAATTTACTTTCCTCTAATTGTCAATATGGTAAACTTTAAGGGGCGTGAGTATAATTAATCTTATTCTATATTATTTTATTTTTATTTTTATTTTTTATTTTTTTGTGCAGAATGCAAACGCAATTCTCTTCCCATTCTCTCCTCTGGGTTCTCTCACTCTGCATTTTGTGTTTTTTCGGTTTTCAGATTGTATGATTTTGACCGTTGCATCTTAAGAATCTCAAGAATCTTAATCGATTAAAGTTTAATATTAATTGAATAATTTCAGATATTATATATAACAAATTGCACTCTTTCATAATTCATTCCTTTTTTGTTTCGAGATAAAGTTTGCAATTGAGCTGTGACTACTGATTTCCCAACGATGGTGACAACAAGTGGAAAAGATCAGACTATGGAGACCATCATATTTAGACAAAACAAACACAGGTTCTATTTTCAGATTAAAAAATTCTCTCACTTTACATTTGATTTTTCTGTATTTAGATCTATGATTTTGAGCACAGTGGATCTAAAAAAATCACAGCGGACTGAGGTAAGGTGTCTCTCTTCATTTTTCAACCACTCAAAGTGCAATATTATTTTTCAAAAAAAATAAAAAATCAAATTACTCTCTTTCAAGGACAGAATAACTGAATATGTATTTCAGAAATATAATTTTGTTTGAACGATTGTGCTATTTTTTTTTCATAAGCAAGTATTAATTTGTGCTATTAGTACATGAATTCTTTATTCATTTGTAAACTAAAGTGTTAAGTTTTTAAATTGAATGTTGTTTAAATTTTGACTTAAATCTTATTTATGTTTTTAAGGGATTCAAAATTGATACATATTTTTTGAGAGCTGTCTTCCACTTCTGCACTTTGTCCTCGTTCCTCCCTTTCTCATGAATCTTAAAGGCTGATTCAAAGCTCCCTGTTTGGTACCGCACTTCTGAAGGAACCACATCATAGAAGACTGGTATGACTGCTTGCCCCATCGTCTCCTCGCATTCAAGGATTTTAACCAGTTCATCCAAACACCACCTGGAGGAAGCATAGTTTTTGGAGGTGTAGATTCCACTAAGAAAAAAAGCTCGATCCAGATGGTCTACAAAGGTCTTGCGAATATCTTCACCTCTAAAGCTCAAGAATACTTCGTGAAAGGTAGGGGCAGAAGAGGAGGAAGCAATGTGTATGTGTGTGCTGGTGGAAGCCATTGGGAACCAAAAATTAAGCTGAAGATTTTGAAGGAAGGTACGCTTGAATAATGTGTTAGGGATTCGCGTATATATACATACAAAGCCCGATTAGGGTTTCATCACACACAAATTTCAGAGATTTGTTGGAGACGCTGAGCAAGAGAGCAAGAGATTTGTTGGTGCGGTTACATATGGTTAGGTTTTTCACAAATGTAATTAAATTGGTTAGGCAATTTAACGGGTCATGTAAAGCAGTAAAGATAAATATGTGGTGATAGGGTAATAGCTTAAGTGTAATTGGGCTTAATGTTTAACGAAGTTGGGCTTAAAGTTAAAATGAAGTTGGGCTTATGAACTTGCATGAGTTTGGATTGAATTTATATTAAATGGGCTAATGTATATAGATTTTTTTTTAAAATGGATCTTCCCCCGAACTATTCATTATCAGCTCGGTTCATTTGTAACCCCTCTAAATAAAGTAAAGGATGACACCAGAGTTTTGAACATATAAACTCTTATTGGAAAAAATCCAACCAACCGGGATCAAAATTATGGAGACATTTGCAATTTCGAACGAATCGATCTTCAAAGCAAAAGACAACATATTCTGATTCAAGCTCATTCCCATTGCTTTACCAAAAACTAGTTGATGAACATCATTAATAAAATGCAGTGTAAGAAAGCTGCTTCTTTTACAAGCCATCTTAGTCCTGCCAAAACATTAAAAACATCCTCTAACAAGCCACAATCCGCTCCTGTCCTTCACTTTAACATTCTCATTTTACAGCATTCACGAATTTTTTCTATTTCTTTTTAATGTGCTTTTGAATATTATTATTTTGATTTTTTCACTCTTACGCATCTATCTTTGTAAAATTTTATAAAATGGGCGCCCCCTAAAATATTTCCTTTCTAAAAATCTCTAATCCTTCCTTTCTTTTCTCTTTTACTCTCTTCTTTTTCAAATTTCTTGAATTCCATCAAAAAGTTTTGTTTTTACTTTCATCATTAATTTTTTTCTTTTTTTATCAGCTAAGTACTCACACGTGCACACATTGCCCACACCCTAATACGAATCATTCTCATAAAGAGATTATACCATTGGACTAAGAGGGCAATGGACTTTATTGTTTTCACATCATAATCATTTTCATCTTTTTATTTTAATAATAATATATCTTTTTTTGTTTTAAAATTTCACATTTTCAGCTTCTTTTTTTTCTTCTTGATAAGTAATTTTCACATTTCTAACTAACTTGAATTTTCAACTCCGAAATCATTCGTATGAGGAAAGAATAGTAAATATGGTATGTCATTTACGACACGAATTCCTTGTACCATGAAAATTAATGTCTTTTACGTTCCAATGTATGTGTGTGTGTGTGTGTTTGTTTTTTGACCAATGTAAGAAAATCTTCAACCGTGTGTGTGTGTGTGTCTATATATATATATATATATATATTTTTTTTTTTTTGTTAAATTTGATGAATCATAATAAATTTAGAATTATTTATTTTTAGATGTGTTGTTTTATACTTTTTGTGTAAAAATATATCTCCCAATCAGTTTCATGTCTGGACAAGAAAAAGAATAGGGCTGCAAATGAATCGAGCTGTTCATGAACAGCTCGGGCTCGGCTCGTTAAAAGTTCGGCTCGAGCTTGTTCGTTTAGTAAACGAGCCGAGCTTGAACACATTTTTAGGACTCGTTAGGCTCACGAACAGGCTCGTTTAGTAAAAGGTTCATTTATTTATTTTTTAAAAAATTTCTATATAAATTTATTAGCCCATAATATAATTTCAGTCTAAACTGTGTGTTCATAAGCCCAACTTGATTCTTCATTAAGCCCAAATTCTTTTAACTTAAGGCCAACTTGATTCTTCATTAAGCCCATTCTTTTAACTTAAGCCCAACTCCACTAACCTGTTTACCCTATCATCATATATATATTATATATGTATCAACCATTGATTACATTTGACCATTTGAGTTCCCATATCCAGCCGCAACAAATATCCTTCTTCCTCGCCTTACTGGACCGGTGACCTTCAGTTTCAACAAAGCATCCTTCTTCCTCTCCTACGCATCCTTCTGCCTCTCTTACTGGTTGGCTCTTTAATCCCTTTCAATTCAGCACATCTTCCTCTCGCTCATTAGTGACAGTATCCACAGATCTCTGTCTCTCAAATATTTTTCTTGGGTTTCTTTTCTCTTATGACGTCTCAATCTCATTTTAGTGTTAATGAAATCAGAGGAAGATGCGTAGACAGTTAAAGAAATGCAGTGATGGATTCATAGATTCCAAATAATTAGTTGAAAACAGTTGCTACAGATCTAAAGCAATTCAAATCTAAAGCTTTTCTTTTAATTTTTTTTTTTTTTTAAGGCGAGCCGAGCCCGAGCTTGCCAAAATTCTGGCGAGCCGAGCTCGAGCCAGGTTTGACTAGGCTCACCCGAGCCCACTACTAGCATAGGTGAGCCGAGTCCGAACATGATAAAGCTCGGCTTGGCTCGGCTCGGCTCATTTGCAGCTCTAAAAAAGAAAATATGTTGAAGTGTCTGTAAAAAAACGTTGTACAAAATACATAACTATTTTACAAATTAATGACGGGTGTATCTTAACACATTGGGGTTAAAAAAATGGGATTATGCAGGTTAAATGCCAAAACGTAGTCAAAGTCAATGTTTTCAAAAAAGAAAAAGGAATTTGTCTTGATTACCAAAATGTCCGTCAATTGTGTTGAGAAATAACCCTATTACCCTTACACCAACTTCACTAATTCACCTACCCTTTCTCTCTTCATCTCAGAATCAGCCGTGAGGATTCCAAAGAGACGTGCCGATGTACCATCAATGACACAAAATAGTTCATTTCCCCACCGGTCTTCAATACCAACACCACTCCACTTAAGATCCAATATCCCAGTTGCGAAAATGGAGATAAAGAGAAGACTGAACCACATACCAAGCCACAGACATGCTATTTGACTCAGCTTCAAGAAAGAAAGATGACTATTGTTCAGAGATGTTAATAAAAAGAGGAATGCTTGAGGTTTAGTACGAGATCGCTGAACACCTCGCCTTGGGTTGCGATGGAATGAAATCGTGATATGAAACGATGAGGTTGTTGAATTGGGATATTGGTTGTATTTGATGCTACTCTATCTATTTGCGCACCAAGTTCTCTTTAACCTAGCTTCTGAAGGAAAGAGAGTGCCATTTCGAGGATATCCACTTTCTGACTCACTTCTTAGACCGTTCGTGACCAATACCGCCTGCGCCCTAGGTAAGTACGTTCACAAGAATGAAACGCAAAGGAATTGCCGGGATCAGGAGCATATCCAAAGTCCCATATGAATCAGATATCGCCGCGCTCACTACTCTGTCGGAACAAGAAATCCATGGAAAGGCTGCAGAAAAATAAGATTTTTTATCATTAGTAAAGTAAAGCTCAGAGAACGCCGACAATGAAGGGCGGCTGCCGGAGAATCGTGAATGAGTAGGGTTTTACTATGGCGGTGATGATGACGAGTGACGGTGGCTATGACAAGGGGCAAGGAATGACGAACTTCAAATTTTTAAAGGGCAGTTTGGGAATTAAAATAAAATGTACAGTAAATTTCATTATTTTGGCATTTTTCTCCTTTTTTTTTTTTTTTTTTTTTTTCTTTTTGCATTTCACCTCCATAAACTCATTTTTTTGGAATTAACCCTAAAAAAAAATTTACATATCATACAAAAGACTTTTTTAACATACGGGTGCTCTTATGTGTTTGGTGACACATTATAACAAGTACTTTCATAGGTAAATTATTTTTTATATTATTTTGTAACAATATTTTTTTAAAATATTTATATTGCTAAATTTATAATAATATCTTTGATAGGATGTAACATATTAGATAATAGTAATTTTATTGAGAAATGAGTGTAATTGTCTTTATAAAAAAAAAAAAAAAAGAGAGTAATTGACTAATGAGAAATATTTATCTAAAATATTAAACCTCTACTCAAAACATAGTTTAAAATCTCCAAATTCTAACTTTGTTCAAATGCTCTAAATTTAATAATCATTAGAAGCTGTTTTAATAATTACCAAACACAACTTCTCAAAGCTTATAAAGCAATCCCTACCGGGCTAATACAAGTCAGGTTTGTTATGGTAATGGGCAATATTACCAAAGTGAACATGCAGAGAGAGAGGGTACTATTTGGTTGGGCTGTAGATGATGGATTGATTCCTAATTAAAGTCAGGCTTGTTATGGTATTGGGCCAGATTAGTAGCACATTATTGTCAGTTTGTTTCCGCAAGAAGGCTAATATCTTTTGTAAATAATCTTTTTATTTAAAATTTGTTCTGAATCATTGAATTCATGATAAGTTTTTCTTCTTGGTTTTTTATTCTTAATTCACAAACATTTCTTTTGAAACCTCAAATACAAGGGTCCGAAAGTGAACATCAACAATTTTGTGTGTCTCAAAACTCCCTTTTTCTTTTTCTTTTTTTATACGATTGCCATATTATTATTAAATATAGTTAATGTCACATAATACCCTATACTTTTTTTGGATATTTTCAAAAGGTTAAAAAGAGAAAAAGGGGCAATAAAGCATTACTTTTTGTTTTAAAAAATGCAACATTTAAGGGGTGTTTCTACACATATTTAAAAAAACAAAAGAAATAATATAACGTTTTTTAAAACAGTGTGTGGAAGTGTGATGCAAAATACACTTTAGACTTGTTTTTCTACACTTAACCCTAATGTTTTTTTTACTTAACTCTTAATATATTTTAAATTGCATTGAATTCCTTTTTTTATACAAAAAAATAATAATAATTTGTGACTACCCCGCCCTGAAAGTGTTCAAAAGGTATTTTTAACAAGTCCAAAACAATATATATATATATATAAATTTTACATGTGCTCGAGCCATGTCCAACTCTTGTCCAGATGTCGAACACCGCCACAGCATCTTTAGACGAAATGTTCGTTGCTTTCTTGCTGACCAATTAATG